ACCGGATGTAGACATCATGTGCCAGTTTGTGCTCAGACCACAAAGAATCCAGCCACCAGCCTTTGACTGGATAATCTTTCCAAGGTTCATAGCCAGATGTGGCTACCTTCAAGGTCCCGACCTGAAGATGAGGCTCGGGCAAACAAGGCTGCAGTACTCTCCAAACACTTCACTGTATATTGGACAGACCTGCCGACGCCTTGTCCGCGAAGACGTAGAAATGACCGTGGTTCTTCATTTCCCTCACCTTCGCCCCCCGACCTGCTGTGGCCTGTGCATTCGGTCGAATGCCGTTGAAAGTGACGGCGCGAAGGCCCGTCCAATCAACTGCCTTGTTGAATTCCATGAAGACGTGCAGGTGGAGGCGGCCCTCAAGCCCAGATTGCAGAGACGTCTCCAGTGTAGCCGTCCAGCGAAAGACGAACTCCAGGGTCTGCAGCCAGGCCACAAACGGCTCCCACCAGTCTTCAGACAACTCGGCCGAATTGTACGTGAAGAGGCACGATGCTGCGCGCAGGCGGTAGCCTGTGTCGGCTGCATCGTCGGAGCCTGAGAGCTTTATGCAGGAACCCTTCTCTTCCCAACCATGTGAACATATGTGCTACAATGTGGCTCGCAGGAACTGGCTGCGACGGCAGCTCAGCCTGCACTTGCCCGACAACCGGCAGCGGCGGCACCTCAAGTGGGCCAGAATTACAGTTTTGCTCTACACCCTTCAGCCCTTGCAACGTCTGGCATGCAGCCTAAGCTGTCCGCCTGCGGGAGCGTACCAGTGTATGCTGCTACGATGTCACGGAGCTTCTGCTGCTGCTCGGGAGTCTGCAGTCGCGGCCTGACCTCGTGGATGGGTCTGTTGTGGGGGCGGGTGCAGAGCAAGCCAAGCATGGATTGCAGACGAAGCCTCCTAGCCTGAGGCCTGGGCCTCGTCGGCAAAAGCCTGAAACTCCTGCTGATTGTAATCAGCTCTGCCATGATGGTCGGGAGCGAGCTCAACTCCAACCGTCTGCATGAGGGTGCGTAGCTCGCCACATGCATTCCTCTTGCGCAGCTGCGTCTGCCGCTTCTGTGTTGCAGGCGGCGTGTTTTGCCTGCGTCCAGGGCTCCAGACACAGGCTACTTTCTCCTCGCATTATTGATTCTGACCTATTTTTTTCTCTGCCTAACGTTTTTCGTTGGGCTGACAGTATAGGAGACTTCCTCGTACGCACTGTCAACTAAGCACACTTTCACATGCGGCCACAGCGGGTTCGGGGGGGACGCGCACAGTTGGTTTCTACGGCGGGCGTCGGGATGTCGCCGCCCTTTTCGAGCTCGGACGCAAATTATCTGGTTCGGCTGCAGGCATGGTCTCACTGTAAAACCAAATGCCATGCAGTGCCAACTGCTCAATTCCAGCCTGCTCTGCGCAGGGGCTGAAGCCGCTTTGATGGGACCCTGTGAATCCGAGCCTGTCTCTACGACGGGACGCAGAATGGATTTGGTGGGACGCCGTGGGTCCCAGCCTTTCTCTACGGCGGCACAAGGACGGGGTTCGGTGGCAAGCGGTGCATCGCAGCCTTTCTCTACGGTACAATGCGAAGTGGATTCCATGAAAGCCGGCAAATCCTAGCCTTCCTCTACGCGGACCCCCAAATCGCGTTTGCTGGGACGTGGTGAGTCCCAGCTCTTCTCTATGTGGGGTCCAAAGCGGATTCGGTGGGACGCGGTGGGTCCCAGCTCTACTCTATGCAGGACCCACATCGAATTCGGTGGGAACTGGTGGGTCCGAGCTCTTCTCTACGTGGGACCCACATCGGGTTCGGTGGGACCCGGTGGGTCCCAGCTCTCCTCTACGTGGGACCCGCATCGGGTTCGGTGGGACCCGGTGGGTCCCAGCTGACCCGCATCGGGTTCGGTGGGACCCGGTGGGACCCGGTGGGTCCCAGCGCTCCTCTACGTGGGACCCTACACCCCGTTTGGGTTTTACAATGCTAATTAGGCGGAGGGGAGGGGCTGCTGGACCCCACCCTCCCGCCTAATTAGCATTGTAGTCCGGACGTGCGTCCTGTCGGGGTGAAGCCTTTTCCGGGTAGAGCACATGCTGTGGTAGACTGTGGTGGAATCACGATGAGACTGTGGTGGGATCACGATTGGCGGCGGGAACGCTCTGGAGAGAGCGCGCTTGAGCCTACACGGACTGTGTTGGGAGCACGATTTTGGCGGGAGCGCATTTGAGCCTACATGTACTGTATTGGGAGCACGATTGGCCCGAGAACAGGCAATATACTCTAGCGTAGCGGGAGCATGTTCGGGGCGCCATTGATGGTTTCCGTGCGGCTTGTCATGTTGGGAGCATATTCGCGCCCGAGCACGGAAAAGGAGCTGCCTTGGCAGTCGCGACTCTCACAGAATCGTTACTCATCGCCACCACCACTGGCGACTTTCAGACAAAATCGGCATACGAATGGTGAGAGAAACCTCTGAGGCTTTGGGGCTTCAGGGGCCGGACTCATAAACAATACTATAGTTCTTCGGGTTCCCTACGAGTATAAAGCCTACTGAATGTATAATGTTGACGCCGCTGAATTCGTGTTCTCTCACACATAGCCACCTCTGGTGCCCATGAGAAAAAACTGCATGTCTGACGGTTTAGGGTTTAGGGTGTAATACAGGGGCCGGAATCACTAAGTTATTTCTTGGGTCCATATAATAATCTGTAAAGGGTATTCTAATAGCTAAGGCCCACTGTATTACTAGATTAGGGAAATCGGAGGTGCTGACGCCGCTCTCTCACTCCTCGCCACCTTTGGTGACTTTCTGACCGTTTAGGGTTTAGGGTGTAATACAGGGGCCGGAATCTCTAAGTTATTTCTTGGGGTCCATACCAATAGTCTGTAAAAGGGTATTCTAATAGCTAAGGCCCACTGTCTTACCATATTAGGGAAATCGGAGGTGCTGACGCCGCTCTTTCACTCCTCGCCACCTTTGGTGACTTTCAGAACGTTTAGGGTTTAGGGTGTGATACAGGGGCCGGAATCACTAAGCTATTTCTTGGGGTCCATACCAATACTGTGTAAAAGGGTACTCTAATAGCTAAGGCCCACTGTATTACTATATTAGGGAAATCGGAGGTGCTGACGCCGCTCTTTCACTCCTCGCCACCTTTGGTGACTTTCTGAACGTTTAGGGTTTAGGGTGTAATACAGGGGCCGGAATCACTAAGTTATTTCTTGGGGTCCCTACGAATAACCTATAAAAGGTATTTTAGTTGCCAAGGCCCACTGTATTACTATATTAGGGAAGATGGAGTGACAGCCTGTCAGTCATCGCCAGCAGTTGCGAATGCAATGGTCCTCACAGGGACTTGGTTTTGTATTGGCTTTAAGGCTTCGTTTAGGGGTTGAGGGTTTGCAGGTGAATGCCTTAGAAGGCTTCGAATTTAGGCAGAGACCCGGAGGCCCAGCACGCCCACAGAAACCGTATCTGCAAATCGATGCATCCAGAATTTACTAGGATGCCCAGAAAGCCTGGAAAAAACGTATCTGCAAATCGATGCATCCAAAGCTTCAGCGGGATTTAAGATGCAGAGAATGCCTGCGAAAAGCGTATCTGTAAGTCGATGCATCCAGAGTTTCGGGCTTACAGGGTTTAAGGCGAAGGTTTAGGGCGCTGTGCCTCAGCGATATCATCAGCTTGACCACTTCCGCATACTGGTCCTTGCAGGGCCACCACATGGGCAGCTTATCTATGGCTGGGAGTTAGGGCATGGGGTTCCAGATCTTTGGCTGGAAGCAGAGATGGCAAGCTTCCCGAAGCAACATGGCATGGATGTCAGCTTGCATAGTTTGCCCCCCCAAGGCCTGTATAGCAATGCTCGCAGATCCACCATTGCATAGACGGGCGCGCCAAAAGACGCGCTTGCAAGATGCTTTTAGTGTTTGATGGTGTTTGTCTCTATGCTGGGGCCAGCAATTCAATGCCAGCAACACTCACAACGAGCACTTCTTGAGCTTGTGGTGCCGAGAGGAACCGATAGGTCCATGGCTACCTTTTGTTGCAGGCACTCTACGCACCTACAGAGAAGCTAGAGGAAGCTTTCTATTTCCTTCACACGGGGCCTCTGCCTTTACACAGCATCCGCAGTCCAGCTACCTTGCTTTGAGAATTCTTGAAATTCCAGCAAAGCAGGACCGCATGCGAAATGCGATCTAGTCCCTACATAGCGGCGCGTGTCACCAATGCGTAAACTGCACCGGACGCACACGACGTGGTAACTAGATCTATAGAGCTGACGACCTAGGCAGCACGTGTAGTGCGCCGTACCATCAGCCAGCTGAGCTCTTCGACCGTGAGGTTGCCAGCTTTCTTGAGCAATCGTCGCTTTCTACGGGCCTGTGCACTGCTGAATGCATGCATGAAGCCGCATGCCCTATATACTGAATAAATGACTGAGGGGACGACCTCATTTCGCATCTGTTTCGTGCAATCCTTCAGCTCCTTCTTTAAGATGGCACGCTGCGCTTTCAGCTGGGCAATTGGATCAGCAGGCACGGGATCTGGTGCGCGCTCCTGCGCGCAGTGGGATTCGTGCATATACGAAACTAGGACCCCAAATGCTGCCACGGATAGCACACCTCAGCCACTGCACCGTCTCCCAAGCGCTCGGCTTCACCACGACGGTCGGCCGGGGGTGCGGCTGCCATTCTCGAAGAAGGCAGGAGGACTTCAGACCACACTTCCGTCTCAGAGCCACAAAAGCTCGCGTCATCATGGCATGGTGAGGCACACACATCGACAACGAAACCTGTCACATCGCAGATTGAAGTTATGCCGTTTCCGGGTTCCAGAAACAAGCCCACTTTCCGGCCAACCAGCCGGCTTCAGCATGATGGGCCCCTGCAGTATTAGAGCCCTAGTTCCCGGCGCTGCCGGGCCACCTACACCTGGTCAGCACTCCTACCGTGCAGGCTGACACCTTGCTCAGCTGCTCCGGCGTAGTTTTTATTTGAGCAAGGGAGCTGTCAGGATCCAGGTTGCATGAGCAACGGATAGGCATACTCCATACGCCTCCTTTTAAGCCAAATGCAGCTTAGCTGCTCTGGCGTGGGCTTGTCTGAGCTACTCATCACCACAGTGTCGCCGAGCTGCCGCTTCAGCGCTCGGTTGAGGATGGTTACATCCCCTGCGGTACCTACAGCAGTGAAAGCTCGTGACCAGGACCTTGCTGCGAAAAACTTGCGAGGAACCGTCCGAAGCAACTCCATCCATGCAAGCTCAGAAACTTCGTGGTTGTCAGATGCCTGTCGTAGCGCCTGAAATTTCGCAGCCCACCACATCTTCAACGTGGAGAAGGCGGCGACGTCAAGGGGTTGCAGTACCGAAGTGAGCGATGATGGAATATAGACCAGGTGGATATGGGCGTCCCTGGCAGCTTCCATGACCTTCGCCGGCAAGTGACATGGAGCTTGGTCGAGGAGGAGTATGGGAGTGTACCTGGCTAACCATGGAGCCAGATGGGTTGCCAGATGTTGGATGATCTCTACCATGCAATCTGCAGTATTCCATGCACTCTTACGTCGCCAGACTTGCAGATGACTCGCAGGTAGCGAGGCCACCTGTCGCTCTAAAGCCTTCGTTAGCTTACTCTCATTCATGATCAGGAAATGAGGTAGGCCTGCTTGAATTCCAGCATTGTCGGCAATGATGGCCACATATGTCGCTGCACCACGAGTGTCTGATTTCTTGACCCGGATGCATGGCTCCAAGCCTCGCTCATTCCAGTGCCTGCGTGAGACCACCATGCCGGAACATGGCCGAGCCAGAAACCCGATGGATGTCTCGTCAAGGTTCAGCATCAAGATCTGCTTTGGCGAGCATTGCTGCTGACGGTAGCGCAACCACTGCCAGAAAACAGACACCTGTGCAAAGGGAAGGCAAGCAGAAATTCACTGGATAAGACGCCAAACGCATCGCTTTATGGGCTACCTTCTGCTCCCTCTGCATGGTCCCCAAAACGGGCCCACTAAAGGAAGCTTAGAGTGGGAGGAACGATTTCCAGGCCCGCTAGGAGGGCGCAGATTTGGGCCCGAGAAACCAGCAATTTTATTGACCCGCCTTCTTCAGCAAGGTCTTCGGCTCGAGGTCCTCCTGAAATTTCAAGGCACGGCGCTGGACACCCCACCGCTGCCTCCACCGGGCAGCCCAAGCGTTGATGCTTCGTGGACGGGGCATGGCATCCTCGTCACTGATGCCTCCAGTCTGGCTCAACCTGACCTGCAGGAAAACCTCTCGAGCTGTAGGTGCCGAACCATGCTGGTAGTTTTGCACACCCACCCAGGTCAGCGCTGCTTCCTCTGCGAGGAACTTACCAGCTTTCGTGACAGCCGACTGCCACGCTTGGTTGGTGGGAAAGGAGACACTCAGGATGTCTTCTTGAGAAGCTGCTAGAAAAAGGTCTTCAACGAAGCGTTCCCCTGCTTGCAAAGGCTCTCCGGACCTTGCAGCAGACGCAAGGTGCTGTGCCAGAGTGGCCGCCTTGCCCACATCGTACTCGGAGAGAATGTAGGCAGCAAGGACTTGTTTACAAGCTGCCGGCCCCAGTCCGCAGGAACTGTCCCGCTTTCTGACACGGCGCTGTCGCTGCGACGTGGTACGGAGTCCCTTGGCAGTCTCCTTCAACTGCCGTTTCATGTCCTCCACCCGTGCAGCAGCTTCGACATGGCACGGCGCCGGAGGCAACATGAGTTGCTCCATGCCCAGGCAAAAGCAGCCTACCTGGAGCCTACTTCATGCACCCAGAGCCAACCAAGCCGAAACAAACATGTCCGAGACGACCGGATTGCTGCGCAGACATGCACACTGTAGACCGAGCAAGTCTTGAGATGGGCATGGTTTTTGACCCTGGTCTGCGCCTTTAACATCATCACCGCCAGAAGATTCCGAAGGCTTGTGCTGTCGGTTCTCTTGGACTCAAGTCCGGAAAGACCTGCGGCACCCATGGCAGGACTACCGTATCTGCGCGCGCAACGGGCAGCTGTAAGCGCTGCTGCGGGACAATCACGTCCGTGGGGCAGCAGCAAATTAAAGGCTCCAAATCCGGCCCGCGCAGCGATCCAAAAAGCCGGCCCTCTGCAAGGGCTCATTTTTTGGGGCCTCTACACATTCAGGGCTTATGAAGTTGAAGCTTGCCCTGGGGCCGGAATCCAGGCCGTAAAATCGAACCGCGAAGCTGTGTTCTTAAGCAACCTCCAACTGCTCCAAAGATGAGTCAATCACCTCGGCCCCCTTTCGCATTTTGCAGCAAAGGCGGTTGAACCACGACGCTTCACTGGTAGCACGGGCCATGCAAAATGAGTTCAACCATGTTTTCGTGGATCCATGGCTCCAAAGAATCCCACACAGCACTGTCATCCACCGTCATGACTATCGGGACTTTGTAGATCCACACGCGATACGCATACATGCCTGTTTGCGATTGGCCCAGTGTGTGCACAGAGTTGTTGGACTGCACCAACGCTCGATGGTCCAGCACAAACTGCATGTCGTTCACATTGTCGAAAAGAATGTAGCCGTGAGAGTCTCTGTCAAACTCTTTTAGATCGGGGGCTGGTGCGCCCTGCACCGTCTGGATGAAAGGGTTGCCCCAGCCATAGACGCTGCCAAGGGACTTCGCCAATGTGCTCTTCCCGGTTCTAGACCCACCCCGCAAGACGAGAAACCTATAGCGTAGTTGGTCCGCAGTGTACTGCGCGGCCCAGGGCTGCAGAGCTGCCAAGACTTCAGGCCGGAAAGGTCGTTTCAACGCCTGGAGCCTTTGCTCCGTGGCAATCTGCTCGGCCTGGTATTCGCCGAGGCGCTCGTGAAAGCGAACACTCTCAACTTGCTTCAATCGTCCCAGGAAGCCAATGCGCACTTGACACCTCTCTGCTGGGATCCACGTTCTAGCACTACGCAAAAGGAAGCCTAGAAAATCTGATCTGCATCAGCTACGCACGATAAGGCCCGAGCGCATACCGGATGTAGACATCATGTGCCAGTTTGTGCTCAGACCACAAAGAATCCAGCCACCAGCCTTTGACTGGATAATCTTTCCAAGGTTCATAGCCAGATGTGGCTACCTTCAAGGTCCCGACCTGAAGATGAGGCTCGGGCAAACAAGGCTGCAGTACTCTCCAAACACTTCACTGTATATTGGACAGACCTGCCGACGCCTTGTCCGCGAAGACGTAGAAATGACCGTGGTTCTTCATTTCCCTCACCTTCGCCCCCCGACCTGCTGTGGCCTGTGCATTCGGTCGAATGCCGTTGAAAGTGACGGCGCGAAGGCCCGTCCAATCAACTGCCTTGTTGAATTCCATGAAGACGTGCAGGTGGAGGCGGCCCTCAAGCCCAGATTGCAGAGACGTCTCCAGTGTAGCCGTCCAGCGAAAGACGAACTCCAGGGTCTGCAGCCAGGCCACAAACGGCTCCCACCAGTCTTCAGACAACTCGGCCGAATTGTACGTGAAGAGGCACGATGCTGCGCGCAGGCGGTAGCCTGTGTCGGCTGCATCGTCGGAGCCTGAGAGCTTTATGCAGGAACCCTTCTCTTCCCAACCATGTGAACATATGTGCTACAATGTGGCTCGCAGGAACTGGCTGCGACGGCAGCTCAGCCTGCACTTGCCCGACAACCGGCAGCGGCGGCACCTCAAGTGGGCCAGAATTACAGTTTTGCTCTACACCCTTCAGCCCTTGCAACGTCTGGCATGCAGCCTAAGCTGTCCGCCTGCGGGAGCGTACCAGTGTATGCTGCTACGATGTCACGGAGCTTCTGCTGCTGCTCGGGAGTCTGCAGTCGCGGCCTGACCTCGTGGATGGGTCTGTTGTGGGGGCGGGTGCAGAGCAAGCCAAGCATGGATTGCAGACGAAGCCTCCTAGCCTGAGGCCTGGGCCTCGTCGGCAAAAGCCTGAAACTCCTGCTGATTGTAATCAGCTCTGCCATGATGGTCGGGAGCGAGCTCAACTCCAACCGTCTGCATGAGGGTGCGTAGCTCGCCACATGCATTCCTCTTGCGCAGCTGCGTCTGCCGCTTCTGTGTTGCAGGCGGCGTGTTTTGCCTGCGTCCAGGGCTCCAGACACAGGCTACTTTCTCCTCGCATTATTGATTCTGACCTATTTTTTTCTCTGCCTAACGTTTTTCGTTGGGCTGACAGTATAGGAGACTTCCTCGTACGCACTGTCAACTAAGCACACTTTCACATGCGGCCACAGCGGGTTCGGGGGGGACGCGCACAGTTGGTTTCTACGGCGGGCGTCGGGATGTCGCCGCCCTTTTCGAGCTCGGACGCAAATTATCTGGTTCGGCTGCAGGCATGGTCTCACTGTAAAACCAAATGCCATGCAGTGCCAACTGCTCAATTCCAGCCTGCTCTGCGCAGGGGCTGAAGCCGCTTTGATGGGACCCTGTGAATCCGAGCCTGTCTCTACGACGGGACGCAGAATGGATTTGGTGGGACGCCGTGGGTCCCAGCCTTTCTCTACGGCGGCACAAGGACGGGGTTCGGTGGCAAGCGGTGCATCGCAGCCTTTCTCTACGGTACAATGCGAAGTGGATTCCATGAAAGCCGGCAAATCCTAGCCTTCCTCTACGCGGACCCCCAAATCGCGTTTGCTGGGACGTGGTGAGTCCCAGCTCTTCTCTATGTGGGGTCCAAAGCGGATTCGGTGGGACGCGGTGGGTCCCAGCTCTACTCTATGCAGGACCCACATCGAATTCGGTGGGAACTGGTGGGTCCGAGCTCTTCTCTACGTGGGACCCACATCGGGTTCGGTGGGACCCGGTGGGTCCCAGCTCTCCTCTACGTGGGACCCGCATCGGGTTCGGTGGGACCCGGTGGGTCCCAGCTCTCCTCTACGTGGGACCCGCATCGGGTTCGGTGGGACCCGGTGGGACCCGGTGGGTCCCAGCGCTCCTCTACGTGGGACCCTACACCCCGTTTGGGTTTTACAATGCTAATTAGGCGGAGGGGAGGGGCTGCTGGACCCCACCCTCCCGCCTAATTAGCATTGTAGTCCGGACGTGCGTCCTGTCGGGGTGAAGCCTTTTCCGGGTAGAGCACATGCTGTGGTAGACTGTGGTGGAATCACGATGAGACTGTGGTGGGATCACGATTGGCGGCGGGAACGCTCTGGAGAGAGCGCGCTTGAGCCTACACGGACTGTGTTGGGAGCACGATTTTGGCGGGAGCGCATTTGAGCCTACATGTACTGTATTGGGAGCACGATTGGCCCGAGAACAGGCAATATACTCTAGCGTAGCGGGAGCATGTTCGGGGCGCCATTGATGGTTTCCGTGCGGCTTGTCATGTTGGGAGCATATTCGCGCCCGAGCACGGAAAAGGAGCTGCCTTGGCAGTCGCGACTCTCACAGAATCGTTACTCATCGCCACCACCACTGGCGACTTTCAGACAAAATCGGCATACGAATGGTGAGAGAAACCTCTGAGGCTTTGGGGCTTCAGGGGCCGGACTCATAAACAATACTATAGTTCTTCGGGTTCCCTACGAGTATAAAGCCTACTGAATGTATAATGTTGACGCCGCTGAATTCGTGTTCTCTCACACATAGCCACCTCTGGTGACCATGAGAAAAAACTGCATGTCTGACGGTTTAGGGTTTAGGGTGTAATACAGGGGCCGGAATCACTAAGTTATTTCTTGGGTCCATATAATAATCTGTAAAGGGTATTCTAATAGCTAAGGCCCACTGTATTACTAGATTAGGGAAATCGGAGGTGCTGACGCCGCTCTCTCACTCCTCGCCACCTTTGGTGACTTTCTGACCGTTTAGGGTTTAGGGTGTAATACAGGGGCCGGAATCTCTAAGTTATTTCTTGGGGTCCATACCAATAGTCTGTAAAAGGGTATTCTAATAGCTAAGGCCCACTGTCTTACCATATTAGGGAAATCGGAGGTGCTGACGCCGCTCTTTCACTCCTCGCCACCTTTGGTGACTTTCAGAACGTTTAGGGTTTAGGGTGTGATACAGGGGCCGGAATCACTAAGTTATTTCTTGGGGTCCATACCAATACTGTGTAAAAGGGTACTCTAATAGCTAAGGCCCACTGTATTACTATATTAGGGAAATCGGAGGTGCTGACGCCGCTCTCTCACTCCTCGCCACCTTTGGTGACTTTCTGAACGTTTAGGGTTTAGGGTGTAATACAGGGGCCGGAATCACTAAGTTATTTCTTGGGGTCCCTACGAATAACCTATAAAAGGTATTTTAGTTGCCAAGGCCCACTGTATTACTATATTAGGGAAGATGGAGTGACAGCCTGTCAGTCATCGCCAGCAGTTGCGAATGCAATGGTCCTCACAGGGACTTGGTTTTGTATTGGCTTTAAGGCTTCGTTTAGGGGTTGAGGGTTTGCAGGTGAATGCCTTAGAAGGCTTCGAATTTAGGCAGAGACCCGGAGGCCCAGCACGCCCACAGAAACCGTATCTGCAAATCGATGCATCCAGAATTTACTAGGATGCCCAGAAAGCCTGGAAAAAACGTATCTGCAAATCGATGCATCCAAAGCTTCAGCGGGATTTAAGATGCAGAGAATGCCTGCGAAAAGCGTATCTGTAAGTCGATGCATCCAGAGTTTCGGGCTTACAGGGTTTAAGGCGAAGGTTTAGGGCGCTGTGCCTCAGCGATATCATCAGCTTGACCACTTCCGCATACTGGTCCTTGCAGGGCCACCACATGGGCAGCTTATCTATGGCTGGGAGTTAGGGCATGGGGTTCCAGATCTTTGGCTGGAAGCAGAGATGGCAAGCTTCCCGAAGCAACATGGCATGGATGTCAGCTTGCATAGTTTGCCCCCCCAAGGCCTGTATAGCAATGCTCGCAGATCCACCATTGCATAGACGGGCGCGCCAAAAGACGCGCTTGCAAGATGCTTTTAGTGTTTGATGGTGTTTGTCTCTATGCTGGGGCCAGCAATTCAATGCCAGCAACACTCACAACGAGCACTTCTTGAGCTTGTGGTGCCGAGAGGAACCGATAGGTCCATGGCTACCTTTTGTTGCAGGCACTCTACGCACCTACAGAGAAGCTAGAGGAAGCTTTCTATTTCCTTCACACGGGGCCTCTGCCTTTACACAGCATCCGCAGTCCAGCTACCTTGCTTTGAGAATTCTTGAAATTCCAGCAAAGCAGGACCGCATGCGAAATGCGATCTAGTCCCTACATAGCGGCGCGTGTCACCAATGCGTAAACTGCACCGGAGGCACACGACGTGGTAACTAGATCTATAGAGCTGACGACCTAGGCAGCACGTGTAGTGCGCCGTACCATCAGCCAGCTGAGCTCTTCGACCGTGAGGTTGCCAGCTTTCTTGAGCAATCGTCGCTTTCTACGGGCCTGTGCACTGCTGAATGCATGCATGAAGCCGCATGCCCTATATACTGAATAAATGACTGAGGGGACGACCTCATTTCGCATCTGTTTCGTGCAATCCTTCAGCTCCTTCTTTAAGATGGCACGCTGCGCTTTCAGCTGGGCAATTGGATCAGCAGGCACGGGATCTGGTGCGCGCTCCTGCGCGCAGTGGGATTCGTGCATATACGAAACTAGGACCCCAAATGCTGCCACGGATAGCACACCTCAGCCACTGCACCGTCTCCCAAGCGCTCGGCTTCACCACGACGGTCGGCCGGGGGTGCGGCTGCCATTCTCGAAGAAGGCAGGAGGACTTCAGACCACACTTCCGTCTCAGAGCCACAAAAGCTCGCGTCATCATGGCATGGTGAGGCACACACATCGACAACGAAACCTGTCACATCGCAGATTGAAGTTATGCCGTTTCCGGGTTCCAGAAACAAGCCCACTTTCCGGCCAACCAGCCGGCTTCAGCATGATGGGCCCCTGCAGTATATATATACATATATACATATATATACATAAATATATATATATATATGTATATACATACATATTTATTTATGCTTATATTTATATCATATCATTGTTTGCTTAACTTCTTCTGTTTTATGTACTTCTGTATGAACCTGTTTATGTGTGTGCACATATACTATATGTACACACATGTATATGTACCAGAAGAGGTTCAAGATTGCTCACTCGGCCACTATGAAGCCTATAGACAGCTTGGAGTGGTGACGGGATCCTCAAGACGCGGACACTTGCGACCCAACGAGGCCCGAGGCCCCTTCTTAGCAGATTCCGGACCTCCCCAGGGCCCAGGCTCCTCGCCGCCCACTGCCGCCACGTCGATGTCCGTGAGCTCCGCTGCAGCATCCATCGTACCCTGCGTGAAAGAGCAGGAACATGTGATGTCAAGAACAAACAATCAAACGATCAACCTTTGGTTCAAATGGTTTAAACTCGAACATCAAGGCTCATTAGGATCTGCTTCGCGAGCTCAGGCTCGTTCCTTGCGTGAGGATGCTGTTTGATTCTTTGATAACTGTAACCTTCGATTTGGGGGTAAGAGTTCAAGTCTTCGACAGTAGGGTCTTCGACCTGCAAAAACTTGGGAAAGTCGGAAAAGTTTCCTTCCTTGAAAAGCTTGTTCTAAGGCGATGCAAAACATGGGAATCTTATAGTTGGGGCCAGAAGGCCACTGCAAGCCGAAGCCCGGCAACCTTGATGGCGGGACCCTCGCATGTTTACGTGGCAGTCTTTGGGGGCCCCTTTGTGCTTTACCTGAAGAACCACCGTCTTATGAAGACCTCAAACCCCCAACTGTGGCCTGCCTTAGGGCCTTAGGGTCCATGCACACGTGACCATGTAGGATGTAGCACCAGGAAGTCACTCTACTGCAAGAAGGTACAGGGACCCCATAAAACGCTACAGGCAGCCCTGTCAAGCGCAAGGGCTAAAGTGTTAAAGGAACCAACAGGGTGTATGAACCTCTAGCGTGTTCAAAGCCACGTGCCTTGTTCTCTGCAACCACGCGCACGGACATGGCCCTCATGGCCGATTCCAGGACGTTGCGCACAGCCCGGCCGTTGCCTGTGCAACAGCGTAGGACTTCGGGTTTGGGGTTCAACCTTGCGGTCCGGATACTTAGGGACCCTCAAGACTAAAACTTCTGAGACCCCAAACAAAGAGGCTTGATTCAGGATTTCTGACAGACATACATGATGCATGCAGGGTTAATATTTCAGGGAAGTTCAGGGGCCGGAGAGGGTTGAAAGTATGGCTTCATGCAAGCCCAATTAACGCGGTTTGTTTGTGGTGTTTCTTGGTGGGGTTGCTCCTGTCTGCTGATGGACAAACTTAAGGCGCCCTCCTAAACTCGAAAACCCACCCTACTTAACGACCCCTCCTGAACAACAAACCTCGTCCAAAGCCCAAAACCCCAACCCTGAAGCCCGAAACTCTCCCCTAAATCCGAAACCCCACCTACTAAAACCTCAACCTTAAATCCCCCTTGAGCCTTTTCTCACCCCCTTAACCCCAAACCCTCGACCCCTACCTCAGCTAAAACCCCCCTGAAAACCCTAAAGCCCTGGCCCTGAAGCCCTAAACTCCGGAAACCCTGTGAAACCCCAGTACTTAAGCACCGAAACACCGAAACCTACCTAGACCCTCCATCTACCCTCTATTAGACCCTAAATGCCCCTTACTTGGGGCCATATACCCCTATTTGAGGGTACAGGTACAAGGAGGGTCCTGGTACTAAACCCTCCCAAACCCTTCTACTTAAGCCTGCAAACCCTGGGACCCCCCCTTTCCCTTCTAGCTTAATCAAAGCCACCCATCTGAACCTCTCGGTCTGGGTCGGACACCAGACTACTTTTTGGGTGGGGGGGGGGGGGGGGGCGATGAAACGGGCCACCACATTAAGCCTTCAGTTGTACTGTACGCTCCAAACCGAAACTAATGACCTGCGTACAATGTCTGAACACCAAGGAAAAGCGTAGAATGTCAGCACTCTGTCGCTGTTGTTGTGGCAACCCACTCCGCTTGAACCCGCTTCGTCATGCTGTGGCCCGGCGGTCAAAGCCGTGTACGACAAATGAGAACGGAACTCAAAAAAGATTGAGGGACGGGTCCGCGATGGGCAGCAAGCTCACACGTTTGCAGCATCCGAGATTGCGAGGATGTGGATAGTACTGCCTGTCAGCGTCTGCGACCACCTCTGTGAACGTACTCCTTTATCATCCGACTCAGAGCTGTCAACTTGACGTCGCCCTTGGTAAACTCGCGCAGAGCAACTTTCGCTTCCTCTTCTCTGTCCTGAAGATCCCACAAGCCTTCAAGGAGACGTTGCGTGTCACTTACACTGAAGGCATTGCCAGCAATCCGGCCGCAGAACACAGAGGCCAAATAAGCCTCCACGAAGATTGTATCGCACTTGATGCCGTATTCGTTTACGATAGATCGAACGCGCCGAAGTTTAGAGATGGACGTGTTTTTGTGTGCCCGCGCCAGGTTGGTGCAGGTGACGACTGTTGGCTGCAGGCCGTTGTCTACCAAGGATTGGAATAAGAACATGGCCGCTGCGTGGCTGGGAGGATTTGCAGAGCCGCATGCATAGATTGCAGAGTTGTAAGAATACACATCGACTGTCAAATTCAAAGATTGCATCTTATCTAGCATACTGGCCGCCCCAACGACATCACCCAAATACGCTGCAGCATCGATCCGTGATCCACATGTCAACTTATCCACCCAGTTTTTGCCTTCGATCTCCGTCCATATCTCATTCACCTTCGCGGTCTTGTTCAACTTGCCGAAGATCTTCATCCCAAGCATCAGGCTCAATTTTTGTACGTCGACAGGCAAGCGGCAGAGCCTCTCGTAGATGTCGCCTGCTTCTTGGTATTGGCCACAACGATAGGCTGCTTGCATTGCTGCATTGATGACGGGCACTGAAAAGCCAGAGTACTTGTTCCAAAGCCGCTTGGCATTTAGCCAGTCCCCTTGCCTGCCGAGTTGCGCGATATGGCTGCACAGGCGCCTGTCTGCAGAGGTCATGCTCTCATTCAGTTCTTCCTCAGGCAGCTTCACATGAATGCTCAAACCGTTCCTCTCGCGAACTACGCTCAGCGAACGCTGCTGGCGAGACGATGCAGAGAGGGGAGCACTGAAGCTCGGCCGTAGCCAAATCGAGGTAAGACTAAGAGCGAATGTCAGAAGAAAACACACACGCAGCGATCTCATGGCGCTGCAAACTCTCACACTACGGTTGGAAGCCAGAGGCTACGGCTGTGCCGCACAATCGCCTGGGTTCAGGCATGAATGCTCTATACCAACAACCTTCGGGTTGTCATGCCTGTTTGGGACTTATGTAACAGTGCATGACGGAGAGTCGGCATTCAATCAAGCATGTCAGGCTTCGTCGCTGAGGGCCCACATAACCAGTCGGCCAAGTTGCAAGTAGCCTATAAACCCTGGCTTCGCTTGACCCTTCTGTACCAGCTGAGGCACCATTGTCCCGCGTAGCGCCAGCGCATTTGCCCTGTTCCAAGTCCTCCTTGCCGCCAGGTTGTGTGCTTGGGTTTTGGGTTTAAAATTTAGGGCTTCAGCCTATGACTTTGGGTTCAGGGTTTGCGGTCTTAGGTTTGGGGACCTTGGGAATTGTGGTGCAGGGTTTGTGAATTCAAGTTGTTGTTCATGGTGCAGGGCGTACGGCTCGGCCATGATGCCTAGGACTTGGGCTCGAGACATACGGCTGAGGGTTCGGAAGGCTACCTGAGGTCCTCAGCAGAATGGCTGCAGGTATTGTTGCAAGGGTCATATGTAGGAAGAGTCATAGCTACCTGACGACAACCGAGCTTACTTGACCCCGTGTTCTCTTAAGCAGGAGCTGACGGAACTTCACGGAACTTCATATTGGGCTGGAGCTTCGGGTGCCGGCTGACATTCCACGGTGTTGGTGTAGATCTTCCAAAATTTGAGCTGATGGCACTGCTTCCAAGTTCTCAGCAATCGAAAAGCTACAGGAATCAGTGAATATATCACCTTGACAAAAGAATGTCGTCAGCATCCAGCAACAGCTTGGCTCAAGAGACGGTCTGCTTGTTGCCCGATAGAAACTGAAAGCTGGCTGCTGGGTCCACCGAGCAATCGAAACCCACCAACCCAAATATCAGGCTACAACTGCTCTTCTTGCGGATCGGAAAGAGGATACAGCCCACAACACTGCGGGATTTTGGACTTAAGCTTGGGGCTGTAGGATCTTCGGGCCGGCTTTAATCTTGGCGGTGGATTTTGGGTTGAGGCTTAATCTTAGGTTCACGGGTCCAGGATTCGTGACTTGAGAATGTAAGAAGGCTCATGATTTCATAGTGTAGTGTTTGGGGTTGAGGCCCCAGTGCTCCCCGTGATGTAACGCCGCCTCCGTGCAGCAGCCGGTCTTGGCAGAAATGATCTTCCTGAGCTACATGAAAGAACTACATATAAAATGTATGCGCGTGTATGTATATATATATATATACATACATATTTATTTATATATTTATATACATGTACCTACTTTGACAGGTATTCTGTTCCCTCAAGCCGTAGCATGTACAAAGGTGCTCACCAGGCTTTGAAGAAGAGAAATAAGAGTTTGAGAGCAGGGGCGAGAGTGAGAGGCTTGAGGATACGGCTCAAGACAACATGCCGATTGGGTAAGCAGATGCTCGCACAGGCGATGTATAGTCCTAAGACCTATGTATACCGATTCAAACTCAGACCGCGCATGTCCGCTCGGAGATTCTTCTAGAAGCCAGAGTTGGTGAGGAATCTGTCTGTGAAGCACAGAAAGACAAACACGTCTGCGCCCGAAAGTCCTTCACCTGATGTGTAAAGTCGGACAAACTAGTCTTAAAGTCTCCCTGCTCCAGCTACAACTTGCCTCCTCCTTAAGTGACTTCAGGAATCGAAACCACATCGGGCTTTATCGAAGTCCCGTACCAGTACTAACGTGCATTGACAGAGCCTGCAAATCATTTACATGCTTGACGGTTGCCAAACAGAAGGCATGCCGAGTGTCTGCAACCAGTCCACTGCTCTAGTCGTTGGCTTCACCTGGGGTTTACGCCGAGCTGTTGAAAACCTGAAACATCTCGTCCTTTGCCATATGAAACTACATCTCAGAACGACTTCTTGAAGCCTATTCATTAAGCAGGCTGGACAGCATCGAATCTTGTTGGGATGCGCATCGGAACCCACAAGCTGGGCGGCCTGAATGATTGGAGTAGGCTGTTGAGGTACACTGCACCACAAGCATGACTAAATATTCAGGCCCCTGCATTAGCTTCGGAGCTGGCTTTGGGATTCCTAAACTGAGGACGCCGAGAGTTCCATCGGTGCTACGGGCTCTTGGAGGTGGGTTTGCAGAATCTGTGGGGCGACGATCTGACAGAAACAGAGACAACCGCAAACGACCACACCCTTAACAAACCACATGCTCGAAGCACGGATCGCTGGACCCAAGATCTGCAACCAGGTGGCATCGTTCTTCTTCGCTGAATAACGGCTGATGCCCACGAGCTCCTCAAGGAGTCCAAACCAGGGCTGATGCAGAACAATTGGTGTTCACGAGGGCTTCAGTTCAGGGCCTTCTGGTACATATGGGAGTTTCCGAAAATTAGGGGTACTGTATTTTGGGTTCCTTCTCATAGGACCCTACGATCTAGGGTACTATATTAGGGTCCCCTATTTTCGGAAACTCTCATATAGAGCTTAGGCTAAGCCGTCAACTCTCAAACTGCCAAGCTCAACAACTCTGCAGCTCCCAACCCCGAGCCTCCGCTGAAACCTGAGACCTGAAGCCCCGAGGCCCACCCCTACAGATCGTAAACCAGACCCGTAAAATCCTGATCAGCCCCCCTTACCAAACCTCTCGACCCCTGAAGTTTCCTCACAAACTCCAGACAAAAACCGCTGCGCTCCTGGCAGCTGTAGTCCGCGAACTCAAACCGGAAGGGAACCCGCGATTGGAAGCCGGGGTTCGTCTCAAAGAAAGCATCCATCTCCTGCTGTCAAGGAAGGGCTTGGCTCAGGTGGGTTTAGGGTTTTCGGAGGGCTATTTTCGGGATTTTTGATTTGGGGGCTTCGGCTGTAGGGCTTACGGGTGTTAGTATCTCCTCTTGAGGATGTTTAAAGTTTCGAGAGAAGGAGTCATCTTGCGTGCTTGAAAACTTCAGTCTTTTTCCTGGCCTTCCGCTAGTGCGGAGCGTCCGGGACGTACGCTTTAAATAGAAGCCACCTCTTGGTTCTCAGTTTGGGGCTTTTGGGGAGCTTGCACCCTCTTAAACTTAGGGAAAAGGCCTTGGGGGTTGTTTCAGGCCTTAGGGTTCAAGGCTCAGGATACAAGGCTTTGGGCTTCGGACGGACGTCCGTCTCCGCTGTGGTTTCTGTACAGGGAGGGGCAGTGAAGCCCTCAACTCTGCAACCCCAAAGCTAATAAATCCAGCGTTACTTACCACAACCTCGCGTTCTAGAGGGTCTCAATATGAAAGTATGGGGGCCCGACAGAAAAGCGAGGATTGTGCTTGGCTTCGGTACACCATAAGACAGTATGCATCCACACACCCTCTCAAGCCCACAAACCCCAAAAGCACCTCAAACCCGACTAAAACTCCACAAACTTCTGAAAGCCCTCTAAACCCGAGAAAGCCACAAACATGCTTCTGTGGTCCTTCTGGTATCCGGCGAAGATGACGATGAGCTTGTCTCGGTTGTCTTCAATCTCCTGATGGTCAAAGCTCGGTACTTGGAGCCTCGGAGTTCCTTCAAGGGATATACACAATCGGGCTTTTCGGGCTCAGGGTTTAGGGCTTCAGGGGTGGAGGTTTCGTGACGGCTTCTACGGGAGTTTTGTAAGCGAGTTGGGATTTAGAGCTTAGGACTTGAGGCTCAGGGCTTCGAGCGTTCCTCCAGAATAGAGAGGGCTGCGTGCACCTCTGTCTTCGCTCCATCCCAGGAACTTGTTAAAGAAACGGTTGGAAAGTTTGTAAATTCTGCTGCATTCGGCAAGGCTTCTGGTCTCGGCGTCCCCTCAAAATCGCCCAGACAAAGCCCGGCTAGCTCCTCCATTTCGAGGCAGCATCCCATCTTTGAGTTAATTTCCCGTGATGCCTCCGCGGCTGTCTCGACACCGCTGACCTGCTTTGCGAACGTCGAGTCGATCCATCCAAGCCATAGCACTCTTAACAATACTCTGTCAAGAGCTTGGGCTTGAGATGCTCGGTCGATCCCCTCGACCCGAAGCCCTAAACTCGAGAAGAGAGGACTCACCGCAGGCACTTGGGCAAACCGTATTGAGGTTCAATTTTTGGATCGGGCTCTGGCTGAAATATTCTGCTGATTACAAGACCGTTCATGATTAGAAGAGGATTTACCGTAGGGACATATAAACCATAGAAACTACGCAGAGACATGAAGGCGATATGACTATGAAGGTTGGTAGGGTCTAAGGCTGTTCAGAGTGAGCCCTAAACCTTAAAATGTCAACCCTAAACCCTATAGACCATATAAGCCCCTGCAAACGATAAACATACAAACAGAATCTATAAACCCCTGAAAGCTCGAACCCTAAACCCTGCGCAAACCCTATACACTCCTAAAAAGACGGAAAACTCACGGGTTCGAGTCTTTTGGACTCAACCCCAACGGCTCCATGGGTTCACATACCCATACAGTATGTACTTTGGGCCTAAGGCTATCAGATTTTTACATATTTTTCCACTTTAGGCCTAAAGTCCTAAAGTTATATACTATCAAGGAACATCTGTATAAGATATATCTTATAAAACATAACAACATGGACACTTGGGGAAAGCTTCGGAGTGGTCGGCCTTACTGTTTGGAGCCTTAACCGTCTTCAGCCCTCGCCCCTTTCAAGCCTAAGCCCATTTTGAGGCCTATACTTACCCTTTTGAACCCTCATGCCCAAGACCCTGTCGGGGCCTAAACACTTTTTGTAAGCAGTAAGCCAAACCCTCTTGAACCATAAACCCCTGAACCCCGAACGCTGAACCGAGCTTCCTTGATGAGCGTGTCAACGGCTTCTTTGCCAAACCTCGTTGCAATAGACACCACAATCCGTCATCAAGGAGTGCAATTTAACTTTAGGGTATCTTAGTGATCTTGCTCCAGGAATATTGATTGAAGGATTTTGTGTGCTTTTACGTTCAGACAACTTAGGGGGCTTCGCAAGAGGTCTTGAGGAATCTGCTCTTGTTCAAGGCGTCCTACGTCCTCCAGTTTCCTGTCGTACAATTAGGGCATAATCTTGCCTACGGGTTGGGCATCACTTGGCTCTCCTAAACCCCAACCTGAACAAGTATCTCAAGAGTAAAGACACATAACAAACAAAGAATAACAAGCAAGACCGAAAAGGCAAAGACGCGAACATACCAAAAAAGACTTCCAGAAGCAGCCGGGAAACACTGTGTCATAACATAGTTTGGAGCTTCCCGTCTATATGGAATCTGGGTCTTGGAGTGGAGAGCAGGATACCCACAGCACCATAAATGCTGTAACACGCACCGTAGCGTACATTCAGGGGAGTTTTATGTAATGATTCGTATGAGGTTTGGGGTACATCATAGTACAACTAGATGAAGACCACAACGGCATAGAGTTGCTCTAGGTTGGCCTCTTGAAAGCCTCTGAACAGCATTCGTACATACGATCCTCTCGCGCCCAATAAAAGAAGATATCAAATGTCCCAAAGGCCTACCTAGTGCTAATCATTCAGAACTCCGTCTTGCTTCCGTCCTCTTTCGAGTCAGCTCATGGCTTGATGAGCGCGCATGTGCAAGGTTGTTGGCTGAGTCTCTTGAAACCTTACCGACCACTGTATAGAACTTCCAAGATCGACTCAGGGGTTTCCGGCTGAGTGTTTGGTGGAGGGTGTGGGATGTAGAGTCTCGTGCTAAGGGTGTGCAATTGGGGTGTAGTGCTGAAGGTCTCGGTTTACAGGGTTTAGGCCTGAAGATTTATGGAACGAGACTGCGGCCATCTTCTGTCATGGTCATGGAGCTATGAAGTTCTACAAGCAAGACCTTTCGACTCTAGACCTTCTACTACAAGAATCTTTACTTGAAACCACAAGACGTATTGAGCTACAGACTAATTCTCCACAAAAGCAAGGACCCGGAGCGAGGTACCCTGAATTAAGGGAGGCTGCTCTCCAGAAGTCCCCACAAAGATGCATAGCAGCACCTCTGAACACAACAAATCAGGGACGAATATCTGGGGAGCTGCCCTAAACCCCAAACCCTAAACCCTAAACCCTCGGGAGCCTGGTGGCAGACCCTGGGGTGCATGGCAAGCAGCGGATCGTCTTTGGCAAGGACGATGGAGTAGGCCTCATTTCTGGGTTTAGGGCTGGGGGTTAGGATGTAGTTAGTGGTTGTGGCTTTAAGTGGGGTTCCGGGCTTCAGGTAATGTGAAGAAGGAATTGCCTTCAAATCCTAGTAACTAGTACAAAGCCGAACTCCAATGCAAGACTCTAAACAGGGATGCCCTTGTGATGTCCGTCAGCTTGGTTTGCAGTGATACATACCCCTTGCAGCCATGGTGTGAGGAAGAGTCTCTGCCCAAAATGTAGGCGCACTCATGCGGGCACGGTCCCCGGGGCGTGCTGCCACTGTCGGCACATGCCACGTGTCGTGATGCAGCGACTTGAAGAGGACTGATGTACAGCGCTTGCTGCGGCAGCGCCCTCCAGTCACAGCCGCAGACTTCGTGCACAATGGCAATGAGTTAGAAAAGCATACTGTGTCCAAAACTACCGAGCTCCTGCCGAGCTCGAGGCGACTAGCCCCCATTCAGCAGACAAAACCAACTCAAGCTCAATTAGCACGAAGCTCAAAGAACCCTCGAGATCACCAGAACCTCGAGATCACCAGAATCATGCTAAAAGCCAGCGCCGTGATCAAAGCCAGGAGAATCAAGACCCACACCGTGAGGACAAAGGTTTAGGGGATAAGTTTGGGGATCAACCGCACAATACAAACAGAGCAGAAGCCTCATCGATGAAGAGCACGCCGCCAAAGGCCGACTTGACTGCATCGATGACCTCTTCCAGAGGTTCAGGCTTAATGTAACGGCATTTACGACCGTGTTTAGACTTGGGCTTGGGGGCGAGTTTTACCAGCCTCCGAGGAATGGTAGCATTGTATAATATCGACTCCATCCTGGGGCTGTAAAGCTTATGGAAGGCTTTGCAGTTTTAAGATCTACGGGCGAGCGCTAGGGGTTGTGTTTGATCGGTGGGCTTAAAACGTTTGGGAGGGCAGGGCCGTCTACTGGCGCTTAGGGCTCTAAGGGTTGTTCGGGGCTCAGGGTTCATGGGTCACACTGAAAGCTTATACAAATTAAAGCAAGATGCAATCACCTGCATGGATTATGGACATGAAGTTGCAGCAAAGCACGATCAGGAAAATTTCACGCTTGCGCCGTGTGCGGACATACTGGTTCGTGCAGACTCACGTACAGATTCTCGACATCTAACCGAAGCTGCTGTAGAAGCTGTGGAATCATGCTGAACTAACATCTGAATCCGAACACCCAAACCTGAGCCGACAACCTATGCATGCCACCCGTACAAGCCTGTGTAGAACCTCATGTGGACTTTACCTGGAGCAACCAGTTCAGTCTACTTTGTTGTAGGGTCCCGGAAATTTCAATATTCGGGTTTTAATCAAAGACCCCATCGAAAAAAGGTTTTAGCAGGTGCAGACGCCAGCGCTGCCTTGGGGGCTGTTTGCCCGGTGTATTGAGCAATGAGATCTGGCCGGGACACCTTGCAGAGAGTCCGTCGTGGGGCTTGGTTTCGAGGGCTCAACCCTAAAGGGTCATGTACCTATGTAGTTTATACATGAGCCTTAAAGTATCATGTTTGCACCCCTGTAAAGTAGAGTATATACTTCGGCCATCTTACGCCTTAAAGTACTTGTAGAGGAACCCCTGTTCTAAGGCCGAAGTGTATACCAAAAGGGTACATGAGCCCTTGGGGTAATTTTTTTTGCAGTCCAAGTCCCCTTAACGGTTCGGGTTCAGGGCTTAGGGCTCAGGGTTTCGGAATTCGGGTTTAGGGTTTAGCAGGAAAGTAGAGTTGCAAGTCCCCTGTTTAATGAGATCTTAAGTGGGGTAATCCTACTTGTAACCCTACTGAAAGTCCCGCGACCCTCCAAGTAAGGCTTAAAGTTTAGCTCTTCGGGACTCGGCTTGTGGGTTTTGGGTATACCTATAGTCTCCATTGCAGTTCCTCTTTTTGTTAACCAATTTTATGGTTAGGATCCTATAATAGAGATTTTGGTTAACCAAAAACAGGAACTACAATGGAGACTATAGGTAAGATCTATGGACGCTCAGTTCGTAGGCACCGATACTAGGCAACTCCGGGCCTTCGAGGTTTGGGGCTTAGGTTTAGAACGCAGAGTTCGGTAAGTTTAGGTTTGAGGTTTAGGGATTAAAAGCCTGAAGGGCTTCAAAAACGGGTTTGGTCAGATTCAAGGGCGGGTCTTTGAAGGCGGGAAACACACAACTAACTATGACTTCCAGACCCGATCTCTAACTTTAAGCCCCTCCCGAAACCTACAGCTCACAAGCGCTCCCTGAGGATATGGTCCGCCTCTTTGAAAACGAAGTTGTCGGTATTGCCGTTCTGGCCACGGGTTTGGAAATTCCAGGGTGCAGGACGTAGGATCCACGGATTTGGGCTGAAGGGTTTGGCTCTGCAGCTTAGGGCTCAGATTCACGGTTCATATCTAGAAATGATCCCAGACATGTCGTCTACTATTAACGTCCCAAAGTAGGGTGTGGAGTGGGCATCGGGCCTTTAGTGTGCAAGGCTTGAGGTTTATGTAGGACTTTCGAGGTTTGGTGGTTTGGGTTCAGGGTTCAGGGTCGAGGGTTTTTCGGTCTCGCGCTTACGGGTTGAGGTTTGAAGCTAAGTGATGCAAGGTTTGTGATGATTGGGGAGGAGCGACAGGGTTCTCTATAGGGCCTTATCAGTCTTTGTCGGTGCTTTACAGACATAAGTAGCTTGCGAAGGGTGATGTGCGTTCTCATGCCTTGATATGCTTGGTTCTCACCGATATCCCTGAAGGCATACTGGGGCTCTCAGAGATATCAAACCTGTCTGGTCTTCCATACCGTGTTGCTCAAGGTAGGCTTTGCATATTCTAAGACTGAGTTGAACTGAAGATACAGGCCTGAACCGTCAGAATAGGGTTTAGGGAACCCTGCGGCGCACGATCATGCAGCAGTCAAGCCTTTTTGTTGTAGGGGCTTTGGGTATTTTTGGGCGGTGTGAGCTCTAGTCTTGCTAAGCTACTATGAACCTGTGAACCTCGAGCCCAATCCCTAAACTCTAAACTCCCATTCCAAGCCTGATTTCATGGCAATATGAAACTGTCTAGTTCCTATATGTAGGTTATAGGCCCTCAAATCTCACACAAAGGTTAGGATTCCTTTGCCCACCCCATTGTCGAGTTTTCCAGGGTGCTTTTTGACCGCGTAAGCAGGAAGGAATGAACGAATATCCAGCACGTATTTCTACCTGCTGCAATTTAACGCATATATTCCTCAACTACAGGACTGTACAGTCTCCAGGAATGTGTCTCGCCTGGACCACGCCCAGCTGGACAAGGATCTGGCCGACAATCCGTGCAACCACCGTCTTGCCTTGAATGAGAAGGCAAACCTCAAACGACTTTCCTTCTAGGAACGAGCAAATACAAACATAACCCTACCGCCACGCCCTCGGCCCCCCATTTCAAAAAACACAGCCTCGTGTATAGTTGTCAGGCAGATCGGGGAGTCAGGCAACTCGAGGTGAAGGGTGTAGGGTTTTGTGTCAGGGATGAGGGACTCTGTATGCTCAACATTCAGGATATAGAGGTGTGAGTAATCAGCAGGCACATGACACCAAATCCCAAACACTGCATGATAGCATATCTATTGTACAGTTTAGCCCTGACTCGTCAATCGAGATCACACCTATCTGCAACCAATTGGTTCGTGGCTGCACCCTTCTGGGTCCCCGTTTGCTTGATGGAAAATCATCCCCTAATCAGCCCTAAACCGCCCTCAGCCCTATACCGCATCGCTGAGTTGGCCCATGGCTTCTTAATTAACCCTGGCATACGTGTGTGATATGACTACCGTCGTTTTGAATAGCATTGTTAGAGTAGGTTATCGTATACTTTAATGGAATAGAGTCTTAGCGTAACGTAGGAAAAATGCTCTGCCACCCTTTTCTGGCTTTTCTCCTCTTTGTATCACTCCACAGCCCAGAACCCGCAACAAAAATCAGATGCAAAACGAATCGACGAAGGCCCTCGGCTCAATGCTAGGCTTGGGGCACGGGGTTTAGGGCTTAGGAGTTTGGGCTTTGGGAGGTTTAGGATTTAAGCTATTTAAATTGGGGCTGGGGTTCAATCACTTAAACTCTCACCCCAAAACCCTAAATCCTACACCCTAATCCAAAACGCTAAAACCCTAAAACCCTAAAGCCTAAAGCCCTAAACTCAACCCCACCACAGCCCCGATTCGAATCCCTGGCCTGTCCCAGGATTGCCAAGAAATCGCATGTGGAAGCTCTGCCCGAGCAGCGTCGCCTTCTTTCCGAGGAACCTTCCATCTTACAGCTAGGGTGTAGGATGTATTTATGGTAGAATGCGACAATAAGGCCTATCGGGTGTGCTCAGGGTTCGGGCTTTTAGGGTGAGAGGGTGTAAGGCGTAGGGATCAAGGTCCCGACAAAGCCGGTTCTTGGGATTTAGGTCGTAGAGTGTTTTGATGCCTTCTCTTCTCGATTCCTGCTAGAAGGTGCGCGACAATCTGATCTTTGCTGAATAAGTGTCCCGACTCAGAAGCTCAACAGCGGGCTTTTGGTTGCGGGTTTCATTTCTTCAGGTCCGAACCCGAAAACTTCATGGAGGTTGAGCCCAGCAAGCTTAGGCATCCAGCACCGGGCACCTCGGAACACATTGTGGCGATTGGCCATGTTCAAGGAGGTGCCACACTATGTCACGGGTACCAGAGTATCCAAAAACCTGCACATCAAAAACATCACTAGTATAAATACAGCAGGGATCCTGACTAAGGGATCCTCAATTCAAGGACATTGTAGTCTTTGGCCCCATCCCGAGGCCTCTTGCGCCACATGTCGAACTCCACGGCATCTCGAAGTGCTGCCATGCCCGCCTTGACCTCACAAGGTTACCACCGTACTATCAAACCCGTCCTTGCCCCCTTCCCTCTTCTAAGTAATCTCCTGGGGGATTAACAGCCGGCCCGTTGATGTTCCTTTTGAAGGCAATTGCTTTTTCAAGACTTCAGCATGAACTAACAACCTCAGCAAACAGACTTCGGCTGCGCCTGACAAATTGCCGCGGATATCTGTCGACACTTGGGGCATTTGACAATACCGAGGTTCCATTTGGCTGGGGCTGTTTATGTTCGGAAGCTCCCGGCTTGAAATGTGGTTGTATACACCACTTCGAGTACTACGTCGGCATCTGCCCACGTTTCATCACGAAACACATTCGGTTTCTGAGTCGGCAACTGGACTCATATTTAAGAACGTGGAAGCATGAAGCAACAGGATGAGCGAGCGCAGGCTGTCAGAAGTTTGCTTGATGCGGCACTTTCTCACAGAACGCAAAACACGCTCGTCATGCTGTAACACTGTAACCGTTAGTAACCATGCCTATTACCAAATTACAACCTGGCTCACTATAACGCACCTATTTGTGCAACAAATACAACTTTCGTAAAATAAAAAGTCTCCTGAAAGTCCAAGACGGCCGCTGGGACCTTCAAAAAATCGTGCAGACTATTCGCCGCGACTGCGGGCTAAGATCCTCGGGGATCTCTGAATGTTAGAGTAGCACCGGCCAAGTTGATGTGGCGAAAAATTCGGGTCCTTGCAGTCGCCATGGTCACAATCGCATCATACCGAAGACATCAGACTAATGTAGACCCGTGATTCATTCATCCGCTTCCGGAAAAACACCAATGCAAGGATCTGTGAAGCAGTTCCTACTACACCCGCTTCTGAATGATCCCACCGCGTTCCTGTCAGTACGTACACCCTTCGTCGAGAGAACGGCAAGGGTGCGACTGTGTGTGGGGTGTCATCGCAAGGGCACGGGCGACCTTGCACCCTCGCCCAGCCTTTTGCACCAGCAAAGGTGCATTTTTTCTATTCAGCCTTCCCATAACCACATGCAACATTGGCCCCCAAGTTTAAGGGTGTGAGGATGAAGGATTGTGGTCTGTAGGGTTGGGGTTTAGGGGTTAAGGTTTACGGACTAGAATTGCGAGATCAAGGACTGCGCGTGGGCATTAAGGTTTCAGGTTGAGGGGTGTTGTACAAATCCTAACCTTACACCAAGATTTCAAACTGCCGTCCACTTACTGAGTCCCGTGGTCCTTTTGGGGCGGGTCTGATATTCAAGGGTTGTACAGGAAGTTTCTCGACTATCTCCTGTGATTGCCGCACAGCCACTTGGACAGATAGAGACAAAGAAATCTCCAGCCCGAAAGCGACAAGTCTACTCCTAAGTCTACACGGTAATGAACGAGCGTGATTTTTTCACGGAGTGGCAAATCTCCTCTCCTCGTTGACGGTTCGGTTTAAGGGCACTTGAGCGAAGTTGACATTGCCAAAAAGCTTCCATAGCCTCGAATTTAACACCCAAACTCAATTCAAACCCTGTGCGAGGGGCTCATTGGTTTAGGGTTTGATAGCAATTCGTGCACGTCGGCTGCTGGAGACAACATAGAACTGATGCTTCCGCCAAGGCACACTCTGCAGGCCAATCAGCTCGTCCAACTCCTTGATTAGGGTTTATGGTTTAACCGGGTTTTGGGTTTTGGGTTCGGGGGCCATGGGGTCATGAGGATCTGACAAGGGTGCTAGGATATATTCTGGCATGACACTATAGGGACCGAAAGGGGGAACGGTATTAATTGCACGGACTTCTACATTACAGTCTGCGGTTTAAGGGTTAGGGCTCAGGGCTTGGGGGTTGGAGATTTTGTGTGATGCTTGTTGGGCTTCTGTGGAGTTTTTGCTCAACCGAAATGACTCAGCAAGTACAGGCATGACGAATGTAGCTACAGTAGCAACTACGTACATCGCCATACCTCCTCAGCCTGCAGCCTATTGGCAACTACCCATGATGCCCAAGCAGCCGCACAGGATTGGAGGCTCTCGACACCTAAGCCGAAAGCCCTAAACTTCTCCAAGCCCGACTCTGAACCCTGAAACACCCTATCCATAAACCACCTACCGCTGACCCCAAACTTTCAAACGACAAATTAGGACACCCAAACCCCAAACACAAAAATAACCAAACCCTAAACTTCATCACGGATAAGGCTACATAACCAGATATATGACGATTTAGATTGATATAAACATTGGATTATATATATATATATATGGAGAGAGAGAGAGAGAGAGAGAGAGAGAGAAAAAAAAATCGCGTCGGAATACAGGCCTTTGCTTTTTGTGCTAAACTACCTACTTGCTTGTTTTTTATGGAACTTGACTTAATTACTTGTATTTGGATAGAAACACAAGTCATTAAAATGAAACCGATCTTTGATCTTCACCTACAACCAACTGACGTCAGGACGGTGTCACTCTGAGCACCTGACCTTGATGAACAAAGCTAGGTGTCATGTCTTCTAAATACTTTTTCGTTAGTACATGACAGCGAGCATAGACAATATGCAAGTCAACTGGCTGCAGCTATGCTTTCGTCACGCGTGGGACTCAGCGAGCTCTGATCTTCAGACGGTGTCGCTACATAGAAATCATCTTGTGCTCTGTCTTACAAGGTACAAATATGCTGTCTTCCTACATTCGACTAACACTCACACGAATACTACACAGCTCTCTGTTTGCCGCGGGGGCTGCATGTAGCGTGCCTCGACATAGAGCTTGGACTGACACAACAATTTAGATGTACTAGGCCAAGCAGCTACAACATCTATTGCAAATTTTGTCTGACTCACATGTTTCATGCTGCTGCACTCATCCTAGTCTCTCTCACTTCTGCTTGATGTGATGCTTCATCACTTTCTTGGACGGCTTCCTTTAGACAAGACCAGACTGAGAGGATGCGGCAAGGCGACGACACTGATACGTCTTGGACGATGGACAGGTGAGAACATGGCCGGATTTGGATGCAATGGCCCGAGCATTGAAGGGAGTCAGGTGGCGGATGTAATCCTTGCGGACGAGGAGATTGTGCTTTTTCACATACAGCAGAATGTAGAAGATGTCGGTGCCGGCGTTCTTGGTCCTTGGTGTTGAAACTGGCGGCATATCCACGAAACCACGAGAACGTCTGTTCTGCAATCGGTGAGTTAACATCACGCAGTCGAAGATCGAGCCGGCGATGAAGCAGAGGCGAGCATGGGCAACGATCACCGTGAGCTTTTGAATGAAAACGATCCACGCACCAATACTTCACTTTCGCGAAGTTCCGATCCGAGATGAACGCTTTGTGACATACACACATCTTGTCGTAGATGACACAATTCCAATTGAGGCCACGGGACACAACCTTGTTCAGGACTGTCATCGTGACCTCGTTGTTCTCGGGCTCCGGCATGTTTTTGACAGAAAGGATGAGGCCACTCCTTGGGTCAATAGCCATGAACCATCCGTTCTGGCATTGTGGGGTTTGTCCGTCTTTGCGCGGTCGACCGGCACGGGCTCGTGCAATTCCAGGACACTTTGCCGCGACCTTTCATGGCCGTCCATGACAGCTTCAGTGACCTTGCGCCACTCTGCTGTAGAAAGTTGGTGCTTCTGACACCAGTCTTGATAGTCTGCCAGGAAGTTGTTGGAGAGCGGATTGTCGATGTCAATGTTGAAGATGCGGCGTCGCGTGGCCTCTGTGGACTTTCCCCACATCTCGTAACCGTGAAATCTTAGTTCATGAATTCCTGAAAATAGCGTAAAGACATAGAGTAAAGATTAAGATAACATAAGAATCCGGCGGAATATACAGAATATCGATGTAGGCACGATGTACTGGCTACTGCGAGAAGGCACGGAGGAGGAGGGAGTGCATAGGGAAGGGGGTGGGGGAGAAAGAAAAAAACACCCCCTCTCCTCCCACCCCTCCGTACCTATTACTCTCTCTAACCATACGACAGATGTAAGATGCCTTTAGAATAAAGCCTGGAAGTAACCGGTGCAATTGAAGATGCAGGTGAACCAAAAGTCCATTGTAAAAGAACAACTCAAGAGATAATAACAAGAGATAAGAACTCGGGCCGGCAGTGTGACGCTTTCTGTATGTGTGTATATATATATATAGAGAGAGAGAGAGAGTGAGTGAGTGAGTGAGTGAGTGAGTGAGTCAGTCAGTCAGTCAGTCAGTCAGTCAGTCAGTCAGTCGCTGTAAGCATGTTGCTAACGTAGTTACGTTCGAGTGGAGGATCAACCATACCAGTCTTGAACGCCTCTGACTTACCAACTGAATCCTTCTCCCTACACCCCGACAAACAAAGCACTAATCAAAAGCGTTCCTGAAACAACAAAGCCCTAACACGGGTTGCAACCCCCTGCGAACACTAAACCCCAAATCCCCAGTACCCCAAACCCGACACCGTATGCCCGTCACTCCCCGGCACAAAGTACCCAAACTTCAACAACAAAATAAGGCAGCAGCCCTTCATCCTGTAGTAAGACCCCTTACAGAACTCTGTGAACAACCCCCAGTTACTCTGACCCTCAACCCTCAAGCCCTGAAACCCTCGAAGCTCCAAAATCCAAAAAACAACAAACCCCTACATCAAAGCCCCAAATATGCTAAAAACAACAAACCCCTAGACCCATGAAGCCCTAAAACCTAAAACCCTGAAGCCCTCAAACCCCTCAAAGCCCCAAAATCCTAAAAACCCCAAACCCCAACCCCCTGAACCCCTAACCCCTAAACCCCTAAACCCTAGACCCACGAAGCCCCAGACTCCTCGACCCCGAAAGCCTTTCCCAGGCGGTCCTTCTTCAAGGATCCTTAGAGAAAGGATCCCTTCAGAGGAACCCTTGAAGGATCCCTTGAAGGGAACCCTTAAAGGATCCATCCCTTTAAAGGAATCCCTAAAGGATCCATCCCTTTAAAGGATCCCTTTTAAAGGAACAGGCAGTCCTTCATCAGCTGGTCGACCTTCGAGCCAGGCCGCAGGATGGGTCGGTCCTTGTCCTGGGCACAGATGAATCTAGATTTAAGGTTTAGGCTTTTAAAAAAGTTCAGGGGTTTAGGGTTTAGGGTTCAGGGGTTTAGGGTTTAGGGGTTTAGGGTTTAGGGTTTAGGGGTTTAGGGTTTAGGGGTGTAGGGATGTAGGGGTTTAGGGTTTAGGGTCCCATTTTAGGTCCCCAAAACGGCACCCTTGTGAAAAGCACACCAAAGGGTACCCACGCTTAGAGAACTACTTACATGTTTAAGAGGTTTAGAGGGTTGGGGCTTAGGGCATAGGCTGTTGTGGGGTAGGTTGTTTAGAGCTTTGGGGCCTGTCGCTCTAGGGTTTTAGGGTTTAGGGTCTAGGGTTTAGGGTTTAGGGTTTAGGGTTTTAGGGTTCAGGGTCAAGGCTGGGTGCACTGGTGCAACTTGTGACTCCTGGCGCAGATACACAGAGACTTCAATCTGAGTGAGGGAACCCAGAGAGCCAATTCTTGGAATACTGCTTAAATTATAGGGGCCTTAATAATATGATTTAATAGGTATATTCCTTAAGTAAGGGGTATTGGGCTCTCTGGGAAGGTCAGTGATTGAGAAGGTTTCTCAGAATTTAAAAGGGTTGTGAAGGGGTTTCAGGGGTTCCAGAACGGGTTCCACTGAGTTTCATGGGATGTACTAGGGCTTTGGACAGGGTGTTGAGGCATGTGTAGGAGGAAACTCTCACACCGAAACCCTGAATCTTACACTCTAAACCCTAAACCCCAACAAGCCCTACACGCTAAACCCTAAACCCTCACACTCTAAAGCCTCGACAAGTGGGTCTCAGAATCGAGCTGAAAGGGTCTGATTTTCAACTCTCCACCCGGTGAAAGGCTTGGGGCTCAGCCAACGGTGACAAGTCGGTGAAGTCGGTGAACGGTTTGGGGTTTGGAGTTTAACGTAGCGTAGGGTTTGGCAGACCGTAGCTGTATGAACCAAGAGCTGTTGTCTAGTACATTCCCGTGAACGATCCAGAAATCCCTAAACGGAAATCCGAAATCCTACAGTGCACTCTGGGCTCGTCGATGATGCGGCCTGGGTCGACTTTCGGCTCCTTTCCACGCGAAAAAGGAGGTTCGGGCTTTCACGACAGTTTAAGGCTTAGGAGCTTAGGATCTCGGGTTTGGGGTTCGTTTGTTTACCTTGGAATCCAAAAAAACCTACGGTTTTAGGGGGTATACCCTGAAATAAAGGGGATGTAACCTGCCATTCTGTAGGGTTTGGAGATACATGTGGGCTTAGGTTCTTTTCAGGGTTTCTGGAAAGGCTCCAATAAAAAGATGGTACAGGGTGTCGAGAAGCCTGTCCAAGTAGGGCTTTTCGTCGCGAACCTCAACACCTTGAACCCCAAACTCCAAGAACTGCCAAAACCTAAACCCCAAAAAAGCTCAAAAGCCTTGTAGAACCCTCATAGACCCCGCATAGAACCCTTCACAAAACCTTTGAATCCTTTGAACCCCAAGGCACAACTCTTTTCCCCCACAACTCCTTGGGATGTGGCTTCTTGGTCGGATCTGTGTCCTCCGTGCTTAGGGTTCCAGTTTAGGGTTTAGGGTTTAGGGTTTAGGATTTAGGTTTTAGGGTTTAGGGTTTAGGATAGATTTTAGTCGGGCCTACACAATGTTTGTGGGCTTGGGACTTTGGGCTTCAGGACGCCAAATGCCGTGCAGGCGCGGGCAAGTATGACACACTGACTGGGTTGGGTGCATCAGCCGGTTTAGGGTTTAGGGTTTAGGGTTTAGGGTTTAAAACCCGAAAACGCTTTTGCATCCACACCATGCGCACGTGCTCTCAGCACATAAGCATGGTAGGTCGGAATCCTCATCGCTGCTGACGACACTGGGCCGATTTGTCCGGAGACTCCTAAACCCTAAACCCGAAACCCTAAACCCTAACTTCAAGATAGAACCCTAAACCCTAAACCCGAAACCCTAACATCAAGATAGAACCCTAAACCAAAAACCCGCAACCCTAACCTTAAGATAGAACGAGGAGGACGATGGCTGGATCAACCTGAGCCCAAAAGGATCGACACCAGAGAAGACAAAACACCAAAGCGCCTTCCCGAAACCTCTGCACACTGAACCCATAATCTGAAAGGGTTTAGGGTTTAGCGCACGCTTTTGAGGGATGAGGTGGTGGCTGCTCTTGCAAAACCAACCACATCCCGGCGCCCCTCGGAAAAAAAAGCAAACTAATTTAGGGGCCTTAGTAGTTACCAATACTATTCTGGGGGTTCCTTATTGTAACTATAGTATAGTGGGCCCCTACTATACCATGTTCAATATGATAGGAGATGTTCAGGCCCTAGAACCCCTAGAAGACACGTAGGTTCTGTAAAGTTCCAGCAGCCTTTGGGGAAAGTGTTGACGTCCAAGCACAGATCCTGCTAGCCTTGGGTATAACTAACATTAATAAGGAACACCCACACTAATATAGGTATAATTACCCTAAGGCTCCAAAGTAGTTCCTTTTTGGGGTTCATATTTAGAATCCTATAAGGCAATCCCAAAAAGGAACTACTATGGAGCCTTCGGGTAAGGCCCCCCCTATTTCAAGCATCTGCCGTCTGGGTCCTCGGGGCACCTCTCCCCAAGGACGTACATGCAGTCGAAGGTAGCCCCCGACTCCAACAAGGCGAGCGTGTGGTCCTCCGGTCTACAGTAGGGGCTTCGGGGTTTAGGGTTTCAGGGTTCAGGGTTCAGGGTCCAGGGTTTAGGGTTCAGGGTTCAGGGTTTCAGGGTTCAGGGTTTAGGGTTCAGGGTTTAGGGTTCTGGGTTCAGGGTTTAGGGTTTAAGGTTCAGGGTTCAGGTTTCAGGGTTTAGGGTTTAGCGTTTAGGGTTCAGGGGGTGGTTCTCTAAATCAAGATCCCTTTTCAGGTCCCCAGACTAATACGGCACGCTGATAAAAGAATCAAAACCTAGAGAACTACCTGGCCCAAAACTCAAGGGAATAAAAGTTGAAACTTTCCAGACTCGACTACCTCATAAGAACCCCAAAAGTTGAAAAGCTTAGTTTACAGAACCCTAAACCCTAGACCCTAAACCCCAAAAGTTGAGAAGCTTAGTTTACAGCCAATAAAGCGACTGCCCCACCCCAAAGTCCGGTCCACCACGCTGTAGCAGTACTCACGACAGCCTGTCGGCAGCTTTCAAAAAATTTGTTGGTAGTTTCCGGAAATAGGGGAAAGTAGAATAGTACCCTAAGGTGTAGAATCCTCATTATAAGGAGACTACAAAGGTAAGGCACCCCGAATTTTCGGAAACCCCCCATTTAACCCTTTAAGCTCCAGGCCCCGGTTTCCAAGCCTTGGACCGGAGTTCGGGTTCCGATTCCGGTTTTGGGGCTTTAAGGGGTTTTGGGGTTTAGGGGTTTCGGGGTTTAGGGGTTTAGGGGTTTGGGTTTAGGGGTTTAGGGTTTAGGGTGTTTAGGGGTTTGGGCGTTTAGGGGTTTAGGGGTTTAGGGGTTTAGGGTTTAGGCTGTGTGGGGTCTGAAAAGGGGGTTCTTCGCGACGGGGCCGCTTTGAAGCCCCTTTTTTCGGATTCTGGGGCTTTTCGGGGCGACGGCTGCCAGATGTTGACCTACACCGTAACCTCAAACCCTCAAAAAAGGCCTGCAAATGGGAGCTTCCGAAAACAAGGGGTACCTTATTTTGGGGTCCTTTTAATGAGGATCCTACTATTTAGGGTACTATATTAGGGTCCCCTATTTTCGGAAACTCCCAAATAGTTCGGTTGAACCTCATGAAACCTGTGACAGAAACAAGAAGCCTTTTCTTGCGACACCCGCGGAAAACAACCTTACGCCTGAGCTCCAGCCCTCAAAACCTCCTACAAAACCTCATGTGACAACCACAAAACCCCAAGAACACCCTAAACACTAAACCTACCCTAAACCCTAGACCCCATGAAGTCAAATGAAACCAAAGAAGCCAGGAGAATGTCCAAACACTTCGATGCCTTCGGGTTCGAACCACCCATGCGCCGCTGATGCCCAGAAACTCTTGCAGAAGCGGTCGTAGTCCACCTCTTTTCGGGTTTATATAGGGTTTAGGATTTATATAGGGTCTAAGGGTTTATGGGTTTAGGGTCTAAAGGGGCAGGGTTCTCTGCATTCGAGCCTATGTGGCCCCTGCTGTCTAGGCGGTTTAGGCGGTTTAGGGCGGCTTGGGTTTTAAAAAGGTGGCGGTTGAGGGCTTAGGATTTGGGCTCAGAGCTTGGAGGCCTAGGAATTCCCAAATGGGGCCAGGAAGCTTAAACCTCTCAACTTTGCACCTTGAGGGCTCAGGGCCTAAACCTGAAGTCGCCAGATAGCGGCCTCAACAATCAGAAAAAGTGCCGGGTAAAAATGATTGCAGCATACCACAACGTGATTATTACTGTGACTAACCATTGTGCTGCTTTCTAGACTCGGCTGAACTTTGGATTTCAAGTCTACCTCTCCAAGCCATTGCTGCGCTGTGCATGGGGCCACTTGAAAGAATTGGAAGCTGCATACCGCGCCAAGACCGTAGTCTGCTGTACACACTCAACAGCGCCATGGATGGAAACACCTCCCCTTACAACCCCTAGACCTTGAAAGAAACTTCCGACTTTGCTAAACCCAAGGCCAGCGAGTGGCAAAATCCAGCATTTGGCCATCCTTCTGCAGCTTGTCCCTGTCTCGGGCAACCTCGGCAAGGGGGCCGCGCAGGACTATCTAAGAAGTACCCAGACCTTCCAAAATCCCTTAATTCAGGAATATACCGTAAATCATATTAAGGATCCTACTATAATTTAAGGTATATTCCTTAATTAAGGGGTTTTGGAAGGTCTGGGTACTGTGTATATAGGGTGGGTCCTTTACAATCGGGGTCGTTCCACTCAGGGTTCTATCGCGGAGTTTCCGAAACTTCTAGGGTGGGTCTAGGCAACCCAAAAACCCGAAACAAGCAGCCAGCAATATATACTACAGGCGCCTTAGCAATTAGAATAGGGTTTGGGGGCCCTACGTAATGATAAGGAAGCCCCCATTTTGTATTGGTAGTTCATTATTAAGGCCCCTATATTACAGGTGTGAAACGTAAACATCTCTCCCTAAATCCCTGTAGAAGCATATTTCGTATACGAAGATACACACCAAAACATTAGTCAAATTCTGAATGCCCCTTTATTGGGCTTTAGGCCGCGGGCTTCAGATTTACTAAAGGCCACGAATCTCAAATAGGCGAAAGGACTAAGTACACTTCACTACAACTTCTGCCTGAGCGCCGTCTGCCTTGAGTTCAGAAGAACTCCTTGAAACAAGGCATCTAGGCTTAGGATCACTAGGTTTCCGAGTAACCCCTTTATAATAAGGCTACCCTTTTTCCTACTCTTCGGTTTTAATAAGGGGACCCTAAACTAAAAAGGGCAAAAGGGCACTACTCAGGAACCTAGATCAAGAGTTCCAGGGTTCAGGTCTTAGAGCTTAAGCACGGCAAAGGAGCTGTTCGACACATCTCGCATTGCACAGCCACGTCGCCTTAGCCATTGGTGGCTCAGGGCTTAGGGTGTCGTAATTCGGAGGTGTTTAGGATTTTGGGCTTAGCTTTTCCTAAATAATGTGGTTCCGGTAAGCGTTTAAGTTTCTTCGGCCCTTATACGGTTGAAATGAAGTACAGTAGGGCTTTAAGTACTACTAACTACTATCCCAGAGCAACACCTACATCCATACTCAGCGATAATTAGTTAATACAAGCTCTGCTTCAAACAGGGGTTGGAGGATGTGTGGTGGTTTGGCATTCTCGACGTTGGTGACCTTCCACATGAAGTTATACACGAAACTCTGATTGGCCCGTAGGAACATCATGTGCGTATGTATGTATGTATGTATGCATGTATGCATGTATGCATGTGCGTACGTACGTGTGTATGCATGCATGCAGGTATGTATCTGGCTAGCTAGCTAGCCAGCTAGGTACGTATGTATGTATGTAGGTATGTGTCGTGAAAATTCAGTGTTTGTACAGGTGCATGTCTATATATATACATCCGTATATATATATATATATATATATATATATATATATATACATACATATATATACATACATACACACACTTATAAAGAAATGTAAATACAATTCTGCACATACGCGTGTGTATATGAATATATATATATATATATATATATATATATAGATACATATATGTGTGTGTGTCTGTGTATGTCAGTGTATGTATACACCCACGAAACCCTGCTCGAAGCGTCACGGCTCCTAGATGACCTCCAAGACCCAAACCTCGAGTGTTGTCCCTTCAATAGTTCCTGAAGTTGAGGGCCGCTTTAGGGCTCCGCCCCAAACCCAAACTAAATTCCAAAACCCCTACGGTAGGGGCCTTAAAAATTAGAATAGGGTTTGGGGTATATTATACTATAGCTATAATCAGGAACCCCTAAAATAGTATATGTAATTATTGAGGCCCCTATAGTACACCGTTCTAAGCCTGTGAACCAAGGCGCAGTGCCCTCCTGGGGATCCCCAGCCCCAATCGCCGCCACCCTCGCAACACAGTTTCGCTATAAAGGTCTAAGCCCCGAAGCGCTAGATACCCTTATAGTAACCCTTAGGTACCCGTATAGTAACCCTTATAGTACCCTTATAGTAACCCTTGTAGTACCCTTATAGTATCCGTTATTGTACCCTTATATGAACCCTAGGGATGTTCAGAGTTTAGGCTTTGGGTATTGGGACTGTAAGCTAAAAACGGAATAGCATTTAAGCTTGAGGGGCAAGGGTGCCTGGAAAGGTTCTGCAATGGCTACTATAAGAATGTAACATAACCCCCTTAATCATCAGAATAAGTCTACGTTATCTTCATCATAGGAAACCGAGCTTAAGGAAAAACCTTGCAACCGTTTTCGGCTCCCTGGGGCTTAGGCTTTGGGCTTTAGAGGTTTAGAGGTTTAGGGTTTAGGGTTTAGGGTTTAGGGGTTTAGGGTTGAGGGTTTAGGGTAACTGCAGATTCGTCAACTGCGAGCCAGCCTCCAGCAAAAAGCGTGCTACGGAGGTGTCTCCGCTCAGCACCGCCTGCATTCACCGGGAGCCGGGACCCCTCCAAGGATCCGATACAGGGGCCTTGACATGGAAACCTTGGGGTAATGCCTGTTTCAAGTGTTCTATTCTTGGGGAATGCTCGCAGGCATCGAGGCTGGAAGTTTCTGCCGGGGCTAGGGGATAAGGATAGGTTTCTTTGGTGCGAAGTCCAGAGCCAGCACATTACACTTTACGAAGCCACCGACTTACCCCCCCTGTTTTTTGCGGATTGGTCGGGCCAAGTTCGAGCTTCAACAGTTCCTGGTCAGCACTCCCATGCCGGTTATTAGCAGGTGCGTCTGCAGCCTTTTTGCTGGACTGGTGCAAGAGACGCACCAATATAGGTAGTGGTGTTGACATTCAGAACAGGGTTTCCGGACAGCTTATACAAGGAAATGTACACAAAGGGATATATACAATAGTATGTATAACTTGAAAAACAGCTGTTAATAATTACTCGGAAACCTGCGTTACTGCGTAGAAGCGTCGTAGAAGCTCGTAGACCTGAAAGCGATAGAGATCTCACGAACAGTCTTTGACTGGTCTTACACGGTTTCGGGTTTGGGGTTTAGGGTGTACGGTTTAGGACTTCTAGGGTAGGGCTTAGGAAGTTTAGAGGTTTGGGGTTTACGGTTTAGGGCTTTAGGGGGAAGCTTAGGGGCGCCTCCATGGTCGGGAGCACCACCGATCGGCAGGGATTCATCGCCAAGACTAGCAGCAAAAGTTGGGCTCTTGTTAAAACAACTTGATTTAAGTTACCATAATAGGGATCTATAATAAAGAGTACGGTTTCCTAGCACTAGTTTAAGTTACCATGAGATCTATACTGCAGAATACGGTTTCCTAGCAGCAGAAAGCGGGGGAGGATGCGGAAGATGCTTGGATCTGCTGCACCTTCAGCTCAGCGTACACTGCACTACTGTCTCCACCGCAGGCAGCATCACCCCAGGTCACAACTGAACCATCGCCAAGAATGGCAGCGAAAGCACCTGCCGCGGCGGCTTGGATCTGCTGCACATTCTTCAGCTGACCCTGCACAGCACTGCTGTCACCACCAAACAAAGCATCGCCCCATGTGACAACGGATCCATCGCCAAGAATTGCGGCAAATGCGCCGTCAGAGGCTTGGATCTTCTGCACATTCTTCAGGTGAACCTGCACAGCACTGCTGTTGCCGCCAAAGCGAGGATTACCCCAGGTCACAACCGATCCATGGAACAGAATAGCAGCAAAAGCACCGAGAGAGGCTTGAATCTGCTGCACATTCTTCAGCTGACCCTGCACAGCACTGCTGTCGCCACCTCGGTCGGCATTACCCCAAGTCACAACCGATCCATCCTCAAGAACGGCAGCAAAAGCAGTGCGAGTGGCTTGGACCTGCTGCACATTCTTCAGCTGACCCCGCACCTCATTGCTATCACCACCGAACGAAGCATGACCGCAAGTTACAACCGATCCATTGCTGCGGATGGCAGCAAAACCGAAGTCAGAGGCTTGGATCTGCTGCACATCCTTCAAATCATCCTGCACAGCACCACTTTCGCCGCCGCCGCCAGCGGCACCCCAGGTCACAACCGATCCATCCTCAAGAACGGCAGCAAAAGCAGTGGACGTGGCTTGGATCCACTGCACAGTCTTTAGCTGACCCTGCACGGCACTGCTGTCACCACCAAACACAGGACAACCCCAGGTTACAACAGATCCATCGCCAAGAATAGCAGCAAAAGCACCGTGAGAGGCTTGAATCTGCTGCACATTCTTTAGCTGACCCTGCACAGCACTACTGTCGCCACCTCCGTCGGCATCACCCCAAGTCACAACCGATCCATCCCTAAGAACGGCAGCAAAAGCCCTCAGAGAGGCTTGGATCTGCTGCACATGCTTCAGCTGGCCCTGCACAGCACTGCCGTCACCACCGTAGTCACGATCACCCCAGGTCACAACCGATCCATCGCTAAGAATAGCAGCAAAAGCACCGTGAGAGGCTTGAATCTGCTGCACATTTTTCAGCTGACCCTGCACAGCACGACTGTCGCCACCTCGGACGGCATTACCCCATGCCACCACGGATCCATCGCCAAGAATGGCAGCGAAAGAATTGGTAGTTGACTGAATTTGACCTCTGTTTACATGAAAGGTCAACGAATCACCGTTCCGAATCTCCGTGCATCCGTCCAGAACGACTCCAGAGGAGTCTAGCAGCCGCCCTTTGCCGACTCTAAGTGCCTCCTGCGCCCGTTGCGCTAATGTCTCCAGAGCTTCGCTCTGGTCCGCGTGAACAAGAGCTCTCTTGCCACTGAGCAGTGAAACTTCCACTGTAATCGGCATGCTCCACAAATGAAATGCCCCACAACCTGGTTTTGCCTAGTCACACCGTCAGCATCTGCGACTTGGGCTTATGGGATTAGGAATATGGGGTTCGGAGTTCACATGAGGCCCGAGCTATGAGGTAGAGGGCTGCACTCCTCCTGAAGCAGCTACGCCGCAAAGGCAGGGATTTCCACAACGTGGATGTCTGCTTGGTAATCATGGTACCTAGACCCACCTTCTGTGCTGTAGTATGCCCCTAGATGCCCATCGGAACCACACACAAACACACACCCATTAACGGGTAGCGCGTATCGATCACCTGAACAATGCTTAAACAAGGAACCCCAACAGACAAGCCCTACGTCCTTCACTGAAACTCCACTTCGGCTTAGGGCTGAGGGTATGGGGCTTAGGGTTTAGAGGTCTCTTGGTTTATGGTCTAAGGTGTAGATGCCAGGACCCAATCCCACAAAACCGAAAGCAGGGCCCTGAAGAATCAAACTCGGAGTTTCAGTGGCTTTAGACTGTGTATGTAAGTGCATATGTGTATACTTGCATATGCATACACATGTGGATATACACGCACATATGCACATGTATATATACACATCTACAGATTACATAAATGTCCAAGGAAATGTGACATGTGTGTATAATATATATATATATATATATATGTGTGTGTGTGTGTGCGAATGTGTGTAAATATCAGTGCATACATATACACACATCTTACATGTGTGTACATAAACACGCACACAGATATGTATGCACGTATGTACGTATGTACCTATGAATGTATGCACGTATGTATGTGCATGCATTCATGCATGCATGATTGTATGTGCGCATGTCTGCATGTATGCACGAACACATGTATGCATGTACACATGTACATTCATGCGATCATGCATCCATCCATCCATCCATCCATCCATCCATCCATGAATGCATGCATGCATGGATATATGCACGTATGTCTGTATGTATGTATGTATGTATGTGTGTGTATGTGTATGTACATGTTAACTCCTCCGCAAAGGCTTACCTGTTTGATCTAACTATCAACTTATCTCTCGACCGACCCATCCATCTATCTTGAGTTTATGTATCAACATACTATATATGTTTATCTGCTTATCTACTCATCTAGTTCTTGGCTTGCCTAGCTGCTCATCATTCAGAAAGACGTACGGGCATATGTGTGTGTATATATATATATATATACACTGTATCTTCTTTATATTTATGCGCCTAACAACTTATTTACCTATGTACTTGCATGCATTGTGGCAAAACCCAAGTGAATACGATTACCAAGCGGCAAACCCGCAACGGTTTAGGGTTTGCGGTTTAGAGACGAAATCCGAGATGTCAAAAATCAGACCTCTGTAAACCCTAACCCCGAAGCCCTCGAAGGCTCGATCAAAGGTTGCGACCCCTCAAAGATAAAGAGGGTTTACGGTTTGGGGTTTAGTGTCATTTAGGGCTGTCTGCAGCCCGACAAAACAACAGGTAATTGAAGGTAAACCCCAAGCCATAAATTCCAAACCCCAAGCCCTAGCCCCACATACCGCAACGCCACCATACTAAAGACGCACCCAATCAAAACCTCATTCACCTGTGCTTTGGAAGAGGAAGCCCTGCAAACCCAAACAAAAACCCATTTGAGGCCGAAGCTCTGAAAGCTCTGAACCCTAAACCCTATAAGGCCTGTAAGCTCTATAAGCCCTACACGCCTTACAAGCCCCATGAACCTGACAAAAGCCCTCTGAATCCTAGAAGCGCTATACACCCCGAACCCCAAACCCGAAACCCTAATCGAACCCTGTCAAAGTGCTGGGCCTTGAAGTAACCAGGGAAAAAAAGAATAGACTTTCATTCCAAAGCCCAGAGTGGCCTGTGCTTTGGAACACGCGTGCTCCCCGAAGATCCTCAGAAGGAAGGGTTTAGGGTTTAGGGTTAAGGGCTTAAATTTAGAGTCTAGGGTTTAGGGTTTAGGGTTATTTAACGGGCTTTTTGGTTTAGGGGTTCAGGATCTGGGGGTTTCGGGGAAGGATCGGCCTTTGTAAGGGGTTTGGGGCGGGTCCGTTGGAGCTTGGAGCTTGCACGTGTTGTTGGTGTTTTATTTTGTTGGGGGGGGGGGGGGGGGGGGGGGGGGCATCGCGTGCAGGATAGGTCGGTCCTTGTCCTGGGCACGCATGTCTAGATTCTTCAAATTTCAGGTTTAGGGTTTAGGGTTTAGTTAAATTTCAGGTTTAGGGTTTAGGGTTTAGGGGTTTAGGGGTTTAGGGGTTCAGGGCTTTTAGGGTTTAGGGGTTGGATAGTTCAGGACTTAGGATCTTGTGGTTCTCTCTGAGACTTGGGGTCTACTAGAAACGGTGTATTACGGTTGATGATATAAATCCTGCATTACCATAATGACCCTAAACTATGGCAATTATGGTATATTCCTTAGTGTGGGTACTGCAGGATTTATATCATCAACAGTAGGATTTACGACGTTCTTGGAAAGGCAGTGTATTAAGGAAACCATACTGTTTACTATACATCCCCAGTATGGAAACAGAAGTCAAGCTCCTGAACACAATCCCAGCTTAGGGGGCATGCGGTGTGTGTGTGCTCAATCGTAGGTTCAGTCAGCGTACCACAAAGTGTCAAAAGATATCCTGGCTCTTACTTCACCTACAACCTGATATTTTGCTTGCTCGGGTTCAGATTGTCAGTGGGCACAGCGGTGACACAGAGGGACAGGTGGACTCCGAAATGCTGAGAGGGAAGATGTCGGAGTCGTTGCTGTTGCCGCAGCAGGCTTTACGTGGCGTCATCATCGGGGACGCCGACAAGCAGGCGACCCTGAGCAGCCCCATACCTGAAACTAGACTCTGATTGTTCTGATTTGGGCCAGAGAGAGTTAGAGCAGAGCGAGATCGATCTCCGGGGCTCAAGCCCTGTGTCGCAGTCTATATAACTCTAAGACTCTAAGCTGTCGACTTCCAGCACCCCTGAGCTTCAACCAGCACGCTACATCATTCCTAAAGCCTAACCCCAACACTCCAAAATGCTCACCCCCGAAAAGGATTTAGTGGCTGCGGATGCCTTAATGGATGGCAACTTCTAGCTAATCATAAGCACGACAATAACGACGACAACAACAAGAATAGCCGTACCAATACTTACTAATGATACACTGGGGAGCCGATGATTACTCAGAGCCCTGTATTATGACTAACGCACGCATCCCTCTTCCCTGCACTCGAAGCTTCAAAGCCCCTCCCTGTGACTTCGTCAAACAGCTTTACTCGGTTGTAGTTTTGGGGCTCTGAAAAGTCTTTATGAATAGGTACCTATATAGGAACCATAAGGGAAATTAGAAAGTTTCCCAAAGTGCCACCTAGTTTAGGACTGAAAGCAATCTCCTTGACTCCTTGGCGGACATAACTAGATACAATGTAGTGAGCAAACCCAACACCGAAAGCCCGAACCCCTAGACTCTGAAACACCAGAAACCCTGAATGAAACTTCTCACGCCGTTTCTCAGATCAAAAAACTAGATGCAAAGAAATGGTTGAACACATTAGAGTTTTTGTTGCAATCTTCCTTCAAGGGTCTGAGGCAAACCCCCAAAAACCCAGGAGTCTTTACACCCACACCGCAACCCTCTCAAGCCCTTGAAACAGGGTTTAGGGTTTAGGGTTCCCGAAACCCACGCAAAACCCTATGAGAACCGTCATCCGAGGTGCAGGTCATGGAGCTTCGACCAATCCAGCCGGTCCTCGCAAACTACAGCCGTGAAGCTAAACCCTATGCCCTGATCCCCTTTTTGTCCTTCGGGGTCAACTTAAGGATTTAGGGTACAGTGAAGCCCAAAAAGTTGGAACGTGAATGACCACACTTTGCCTTAAGGGCATGAGGGTACTCATGTTCCCACTGTCTCTACTGAAGCTCTGCTTTGCTCCGTATTGCGGATTGTAGGATCAAGAGTACATGTCTCGATCAGTACCGGGAAGTGGCTTAAGAACGTAAGGTTTGAGGGACTTGGGATGTATGGTTTTGGGTGCAGTCCAACCAGAACGAGACAGTCACGGGTTACTCGAACCTTAACATTACAACTCGTAAGGATGGGGCCTAAATCATCGAGAAGGCCCTTAGGACGATCTTCGCTGCGTTCTTTGTCAAGCCCTCGATGCAGGATGCAAATATGTCATTACCAAGTAGTCTCGGGGATATGCAATCTTTGGGTCGCTGCTGCCTGTTTGCAAGCTGAGGGAGGAAGTCTACCAAGTGCACTTCATGAGCAGACCCTGGATTTAGAATCTAGGCTATTCCCAGACCTTCCAAAACCCCTTAATTAAGGAATATACCTTAAATCATATTAAGGATCCAACTATAATTTAAGGTATATTCCTTAATTAAGGGGTTTTGGAAGGTCTGGGTTTAGGGGGTTTAGGGTTTAGGGTGCCGCGGGATCCTAACACATCATTTGGGGCAGCTACTCCTTCATAAAGCTTTTTGGCGGTCTCCCTAAAGAGCTGCTTGTCTGACCCTTGAGAAGTCAACCCTGATTCTAAAGTACCTAGGGTTTCGGGCTTAGGATACTGGACCAGGCTTTTGGGTTTCGGGTTTAGGATAGTAGACCAGGGTTTAAGGTATCAGGTTTAGGGTTTAGGAGACTAGACCCATATAGCAACGCTTACGGTACCCTTTCTACCGGAACGAACCCTAAAAGGACCCTGTTCATTTGTTAAGGGCCCCCTATCTTCAAGCCGCAGGCGGATCGACCGAGCGCTCAGTTCCGGACCACTGCCCCGGGCTCTGTGAAGATGCTGCTCACGTTGACCTGGGAGTTTCCAAAAAGTAGGGGAGGCTTTTGGGGCCAAACCCTGCACCCGAAACCGTAAGCCCTAACCCTAAACCCTCACAGCCCAGAAACCCCTTAAGCCCTGACCCCTTAACCCGGAAATCCTAGACAGCTACAGTAGGCTAAGAACCCGACATCCTTCGTCGTTTTGAACTTCTGACTAGCCTTGAACCCCGTAAGCTCGTAACATACGGGCTTCAATCAACAGGGTTTGGGGTGGTTTACAAAATCAGATATGATAAGACTAAAGTGTTCAGATATCGAAATTAAACCTGAATCCTGAGCCTCCGCCCTCCCAAGACAGTAAAGAAAAACCCAGGTGATTCCACTGTAGTGCCGTGACCGATCTCCTTCTTGTCGTTCGTTTGAAAGCCTTCTACACCCTCATGGCCTGAAGCACCAAAGCACGATTAGAAAAGCATGCAAGAGAATTAGTAATTAGCCTCAAGAAAGCCGCCCTAAACCCTAAACCCTGACACGTAAACCCTGGCCCTAAACCCGAAACCCTAAACTAAACCCTAAACCGGGAAGTCTCAGAAGCCAAGACGGGAGGCGGTGATGGGAGTGCGGGTGCGCTGGCAGTTCGCCTGGAGCTGCTCTGAAAGAGCCAAGGCAGTCGATTGAAGAAGATCTCCTGGAGGAAAGGCCCAGGATGTCATGAGTGTACCAAACCCTAAACCCTAAGCCCTAAACCCTAAACCCTACGCCTTAAACCCTAAACCCTCTTGTTGTTGCTTCGCGCCGTGAAACAGACAGCTCAGGGTTGGCCCATTGGGGTTTTGAAGTCCCTAAGGGTATGGTCTTGGGGACCTCAGTCTTGAGAGTTCGGGGTTCGGCTAGAAAGGTCCAGGGGCTTGGGAGATGGGAGGTGCTCAGGGCTTAGTGAAGGCTCTTCTGGGATCTTGGGGTACACTATGCCATAATTAAGTATAGCAAGGAACCCTAAGGATTAAGGAATACTGTCAACGAATGCCGAGCTTCTGTTTGGAAATTCATGAGGCTTATGGCTAGGCTAGGCCTCAGGACGTTGCAGGCTGGCAGTGCCGTGCCTTGGCAGCTACGTCTACAAGTCTTTTGCTGTACGGCTGCACGTGATGCCCTGCAGCCTGCCAGCGCGCCACCCGGAACGACATTCCATCAGACACCGATCTATCGAACGGTATTTAACTAAGCTTTCACAGCCCGCCGTGGTCAGCCGCACCCCAGGTCACAACAGATCCATCGCCAAGACTGGCAGCAAAAGCCCTCAGAGAGGCTTGGATCTGCTGCACATGCTTCAGCTGACCCTGCACAGAGCTGCTGTCACCACCGAAGCCAGCAGGACCCCACGTCACAACGGATCCATCGCTAAGAATGGCAGCAAAAGCGCGCTGAGAAGCTTGGATCTGCTGCACTTTCTTTTGTAGCGGTGACTGCACAGCGCTGCTGTCGGCACCGAAAGCAGCATGACCCCAGGTCACGACGGATCCATCGTTCAGAACGGCAGCAAAAGCACCTGCGGAGGCTTGGACATGCTGCACAGTCTTCAGCTGACACTGCACGGCGCTACTGTCACCACCACAGGCGGCAGAGCCCCAGGTCACAACGGATCCATCTCCGAGAATGGCAGCAAAAGCCGAATCGGAAGCTTGGATCTGCAGCACAGTCTTGAGCTGAAACTGCACAGCACTGCTGTCGCCACCCAATTCAGCATCACCCCAAGTCACAACCGATCCATCGCCAACAATGGCAGCAAAAGCGAAGCCCGAGGCTTGAATCTGCTGTACATTCGTGAGCTGAGCCTGCACAGCACGGCTGTCGCCACCATAGGTAGCATGACCCCATGTCACAACGGAGCCGTCGCCAAGTATAGCAGCAAAAGCACTGCTAGACGCTTGGATCTGTTGCACATTCTTGAGCTGGCCTTGAACAGAGCTGCTGTCACCACCAGAGTGAGCACCACCCCAGGTCACAACCGTTCTATCGCCGAAAAGCGCAGCAAAAGCACGTGAAGAGGCTTGGACCTGCTGCACATTCTTCAACCGGCCTTGCACAGCACTACAGTCGCCGCCGCAGGCAGCATCACCCCAAGTCACAACCGATCCATCGCCAAGAATAGCAGCAAAAGCACTACGAGAAGCTTGAATCTGCTGCACCTTCTTCAGCTGACACTGCACAGCACTGCTGTCGCCACCATAGGCAGCAGGACCCCAGGTCACAACCGACCCATCACTAAGGATTGCTGCAAAGGCACCGTCGCGAGAGACTTGGACCTGCTGCACATTCTTCAGCTGGTCTTGCACAGCACTACAGTCGCCGCCGCAGGCCGCACGACCCCAGGCCACCACCGATCCGTCGCCAAGAATGGCAGCAAAAGAAATAAAAGTGGACTGGATTTGAATTTTGTTTACAGGCAAAGTCAGTGAGTCACCGCTCTGAATCCTGCATGTCAAGATCTTTGCGCATCCGTCCAGAACGACTCCAGACGAGTCCAGCAACCGGCCTTTCCCGACTGCAAGTGCAATCTGGGCCCGTTGTGTCAACGCCTCCACAGTTTCGTTGAGACCTGCGTGAACAGTAGCTGTCTTGCCGCTGAGCAGTGAAACTTCTACGGAAATCGACATGTGGTGCGCGAGAAGTACTCAAGACCCGAAGGTTTTGGCTGTCCAAGGCAAGCCTTAAGGCTTAAGGGTGAGAGCTCTAGGCTTTAGCATTGGGGTGGAGTCTCCGAGGTCGGGCGGGTAAACTAGTCGGGTTCCATAACCCTAAACCCTAAACCCCTAAACCCTTCTAGATCCCTTACAAAAAAACCCTTGTCCCTTTGAAGGAACTGGTAGTATTCATTTTTATAATAGTAGTATGCTCTGGACCCTCCGGGAATCTGTTGAGAAGCTCCGAAGCGACCTCATCGACCGAAGCAAACTACAAAGGATGCTGTGCCAAAACCGAATCATCTTCCAAAGGGATAGGTACTTTAGCAGCCTTAATAATTAGAATAGGGTTCCTCTAAAGCTATCAGGGCTACTGTAAGGGTACTATAATGGAATATAGAGGCTCGGATAAAGAATAGGGTTTTGGGGACCATTATACTATAAGTATAACGCTCTGACGCCCTGTTAACGCGCACGCGGCAACACAGGCAAGCGTTCTGTACGGTAAATACCTCTACAAACGCAGCATGTTTGTAGATTCTTCTGGGTGCGGAAATGACAAACGTTTCTGCCGCAAAATGCACTAAAACTCGAAAAATGGCTGCGGCGCACTAGCAAAGGTGTCTTGAAGCCAGGAAGATGCCAGCAGAGTGTGTCTTGTGTTCATAAGGGCTCCTTTAAGGGGTCCTTTAAGCGGTTCAGATAGGGGCTCCTTTTAAGGGCTTCGGGCTAGGAGCTCCTTTAAAAAATTCGAATGAAGGGCTCGTTTAAGGGGTTCTCGAAGGTTCTACAACGGCTGGTTCTGCAAGAGACCCGCTTTCTTTGCGGTGTACTTGCGTTTGAAGGGTTCGGGGAGTTGGGAGCTAACCCTAAACCCTAAACCCTAAACCCTAAACCGTGCTAACAAGGGTTTCAGGCCAACACTCTGAATCCCCAAGGCCTGACCTCCCCCACCTTGAACCCTAACAACACAGCTCTCTGAAAGATCAGTCAGAACCCTAAACCCTAAACCCTAAACCCTAAACCAGGGACACAAAATACTGCCGCCCTAAGCTCCGAGACTTCCGGAACATTCCTCGTGCGACCCTGTATAGAACCCTTGAAGAAACATAAAGGAACGCTGAAAGAACCCTTAAGGAGCCTTCCAAAATCTCTTATGCACAGGGTGCAATGATGCCTAGGCCTGGACCCTAAACCGCCTGAACCTCAGTCCCTGATCCTTGAACCTTGAAACTGGAAAACACCAAAAACCCTGAAAGGAGCCCTTAAAGGAACGCTGAAAATAGCATGGAGCCCTTCGAGGAAGCCTTAGACTAGCAAGGAACCCTTGGAGGAACCCTCAAACTGGCGAGGAACCCTTAGAGGAAACCTTGAAGTAGAAGCCAGAAAGTTGGAACACCAATATCCTCATGCCCTTAAGGTAAAGTATAAGGGATCCTAGCATTCATCCTCCTAAAGCCATGTTCCAACTTTCTAACTTTCACTATCGGAGGCCTGCTTCAAGCAAGCGGAAGGCGCAGCGAAGATCCGCATCCCCCGTCTCCTCCGTTTAGGGTTTTAGGGTTTAGGGTTTAGGATTTAGGATTTAGGGGTTGCAGAGGCATGGGCTGGGTGTCTTAAACAGTTGTTTTGGGCCTTTGGGTTGCAGGGCTTAGCTCGAGTGCTGCAACATCAACCAATGGACCAACAAGGACTATACCTATGCACAGTTACGCCAGTGTTCCTGATCAGGCTTGAGGTACACTCCCTCGTAAGTGTCTTCTTGCATGCGGTTACCCAAAGGGTCCAAGTATCATTCTGGTGTATACTTATAGGGTATTTGGGGGGTCTAAGTGTATACGATAATGATACTTGGACCCTTTGGTTTATGTGCTGAGTGAGAACTCATGTTCGCAGGCATACGAGGACCATAAAACCAGGCGTTAATTACGCGCTGCTGGGTTGTCTGGCAATAGAAGTGTCGAAGAGCTCCAATATAGGGGCCTAACTAATCACCTATACTTTACAGGATTTTGGGGGCTCCTCATTATGAGTCTAGTATTCTATACCCCCAAACCCAAACCCTACTCTAATTATTAAGGCCCCTATATTACACAACTGTTTCTGGCAGGCACCCCAATAGGGACCCCAAAAAGCACACAAGCATGAGCATATTATAGGGATATCCGTACCTTATTGGGCTTCATTTTGAGGGGGTTTATATGGGATATCCCTATCCTCATTTTGATTTGTGCTTTTTGGGGGGGGGGCGCTATCCAAGTCCTTCCCCAAGTCACGGCAACGATTTGTGGAATCCCGGAAGCCCAGCAACGACAAGTTGAAGTTCCGCAGCTCCGCACTCAAGAGCTCCATATGGGTGTCAAAATTATGGTCCCTGTTTGGGAACCCTAATTTTAGGTGCGGTATTATGATAAGGACCCAAAGAGGGATCCTAGTTTGAACCATCGCCCATATGCAGGGATCTTAGGTTGAGGGTTTAAGCCGAGACCCCGTCTATGCCAAGATGTGTTGCTTCATCATGGGCGGGTGGCAAACCCTACACTCTTCTTCCTAGGTCAAAGCCTCCAAACTCCCTGACCCTAAACCCCAAAACCCGAGACCCCAACACCTCTAATGTTTCTCAACGCGATCTGGATCAACCGTCTCTTGCAGTCGAAACACATTCAGGTGCGTGAACGGTCCTCGGAGAAGGAAAGACCGCTCTTCTCAGCCCAACCTCCCTGCGGAATAATTACAAAAAAAGACCTTACGAGCCAAAGTGGAATCCGCCGCACCTCCTTGGCCCAACATACCTAAAGAGCAAGGGGCTCTCTTCCGAGGATATGCTCCCCGACATGAACCTTATGCACGCAGATATGCGTCTACGACCAAAGCTGAGGAGGCGCGATCGCATGGGAGGGGGGGGAACTTCTACGGCTGGGACATCTCCCAAGTCAGCAGAATGCCAGTCTTGTCGCTGGGTGCCGGGCTGTTGGCACAGTACCCAGAGGCCCTAAAGTAGTTCCTTTTTGGGGCTCATATATAGAATCCTATAAGGTAATCCCAAAAGGGAACTACTATGGGGCCTCTGGGTACGTACTATCTGGAACATCCCATAGAAGGGCCTAGCCGAGATGCAAAGCCGAATGATTTTGTCAGCCGGGACCGACTTCGACGTCAACGTTGATACTATGGCACGAGTCTAAGTATTACTATTTTTTCCTAATGTTGCTGCTATTCTGATTTTAATTGTGTTTAAAGCGTAGAAAACCCCACTGCATAAGCCGTGGCTCCGTTGTGCCGGATCTGCAGAAACTTCTCGCAGTTCAGCTCTGGGTCCTTTGAGAACAAGGCCGAAGGAGAGCCGGGTTTCGTACTGCTGCTTTTTTATCCCAGAACCCCGGGAGGATCGGAGAAGCTGTATACGGCGTTGTAGGATAAACGCTTTTATCTACATTCCGCGGCTTCATACTCGGAGAGCAGGATTCCTCAAAGATATGAAGAGAATGATCCCCGTCAAAGCCGTGTCAAGGGAGTTAGCCGTCTTTCTTCATGATGGATTTGCTCAGCCGAGCCATGTTGCCAGACTCTGAACTTTAACCCTGAAGCCTAAACCCTGCATCTCAGCACACTCTTCAACTGAAAACTCCTCCAACACACTTGCTGCCGCCATAACGAAGTATAACGTTGCCCTTTTCGTAAGGATTTTGAAATAATGTTTCATGGGGTTGTATAGGGTTTTCACAGGTTGTGCGTTGGTTTCTTGTCACGAGAAGTACATCATGATGCATCAAGTGTTTCATCCCAAGAAACCGATTTAGGATTTCTAGGTCTAAGTCTGAATGTATAAGGTTTTTCGGCTTTCGGTGAGGCCTGCAGGGGGGCAGGGTGTAAATCACAACAGCAGTCCCGCCGAACCCCTAGAAACGGAATACGAAAGCCCAAGCAAGCGTGATAAAAGTTGTCAACAAGGCATAAAGTAACTTCTTATAACCCCAGGTAAGGTACCTAGAACACCGACATGTAATCTAGAGGCTTTAATAAATCAGAATAGGGTTTTGGGGCCCATTATACTAGAAGCACAGCAAGGAACCCCCAAAATAGCCCTAAACCCCAAACCCTAAACCCTAAAGTAAATCTTTAGGCCTCGAAAGAAACTTCCCACAAAGCTTCCAGGACTCGATAGCTGAGCCCTTCCCTGGATCCCAAAAGTATATAGAATAACAGCCTTTTATGGGTATTGGGCCATTATTTTACCTACTTTTGGGGGTTTAGGTCCAGCTAACTTGAACTCTAAACCCTGAAGGACCTGGGCGACACCTTGAAGCACCGAAATCTACCCCAAGTCTTCCCCGAAAGCTTGAACCCTGAACTCTGAGCCCTAAAACCTAAAGCCTAAACCCTAAACCCTAAACACTGAACTCTAAACCCTAAAACCTACAGCCGCGAAACCGCGGAAATTCGCATTCGTCAGCCATGGTGCCGGCACGCCGTCGCTGCCTACCTTCGGCTTCACCTTCGTGTCCTGGGCATCGTTGCGGAAAATAGAAAATGAAAAAACATAGCATTATGTGATAATGTTATCGTTATAATGTTATGTTATGTAATTATTAGTATTATGCTATCAGTAATATGCCATACTATGGTATATTGTATTATAGTTTCTTACCCTATGTGGCATGATATTACGTTTCGGACAGCGATTCAGGAGCAATATGGCGAGTAGGGTGGAGTTGGTAGAACCCCTTTTGAGCCTGAAAACTGAAACCCAGAACCCGCACCCCTTTAAGGGTTCCTTCAAAAGGGTCTAGAAGGATTACTATAAGTGGTACTATAGGGTCTTCGGATAGGTGCCTGAACAATTTCCTATACTATTTTGGGGGTTCCTTAGTAGATTTATGGCTTGATGGGCCCCTATGCTATGTATTAAGGCCTCTATATTGATGCCCTGGATGTAGACCCCGGATTAATGGACCCTTTCCGTTAACAGCCTGTATACTCCACTTCTGATCAGGCATCTACGCTAAAGCTTTGTACAACGCTTCTACAAAATGTAGAATACCCCGGAAAAACACTGCGGAAACTGAGCTCCGCACGTACTCCGTCAGCAGAAGCGGCGGGTAGGTAGTGAGCACCCGGCTACCCATCTCTCGGTAGGACGCCTCACGGCAGACCGAGAACCGAACTCCAATTCTCTGCACACCGTGCGGATCAATGTGGAAGCTCGGTAGCTACCAGCACCCTTCAAGTGCGAATGCCATTCGCTACGGTTCCTCTTGTGATTCTAGTGTAAACACTCAAAACGAACGCTTTCATCCATCCTCTAATTCTTCAAGTTCTCATAATTGGCTCTCAGGGCTTGAAGTTTAGGTCAAGGGTTCGAAAGGTTTCGGGTTCAAGGGCTCTGGAAGAAGTCTTGGCGTTGCATTCATAAGTTGGCTTATAATCTTTTACGAGCCTTTTGCAGTGATTTCATGAAGGCCTCGCAGGGATTTGTAAACGTTCTATAGGGACGGTTCGGGCTCGACTAGAGTCCTGGTCTCTGTCTCTCACCGGAAAACTATCTCACATGGAGGCCAGAAAAATAATAGTTTCGTTGCAATAGTGCTTCACAATGGCATCAACAGATTATAGTTGTTTAGGATAGGTGGAGGAAGGTATTGAAGATATGTCCTGGGCCTAGGATAGCTTCAGGCCCGGGATTCCTTTAAGCTCTTGGGGTTATCGGTCTTGGAGCAGGTTTGGGTTCACCCCGAAACTCTACACCCCAACCCTTTAAACCCTAATGTAGGGGCCTTAATAATTAGAATAGGGTTTCGGGGCCCATTATACTATACTTATAATAAGGAACCCCCCAAAATAGTTTTGGTAATTATTGAGGCCTCTATATTAGTCGTGCACCTCCAACATGTTTCTCACGGTGCGGCCGTTGCCGTTTGCGCGGTTCTCCTCCCTGCCGCAATCCTGCTGAAGACTTGGTTCAGGGCCTGGGGTGTTACGTTTAGGGTTGTACACGCCCATGATTATGGCCAGGTCTTAGTGCCTTGCTTTAACATCCAAGCCACGTAGTGGATGAGGCTGGGAGATCTTCCAGAACGTTGTCCGTAATCACTGAACCTCAGCCCTGCTCCCTGTCGACAGCCCTCCCCCAGTCGACCGCTAAACCGACTATAGATCCTAGAGCACTGTAGAACACTCTTTCAATGAAGCTCCCTAGCCATTAGCCACAATCTCCCCAAAACGAAGATTTTGCAACAACACAGGGACAATAGTAGTATCCTTCTCAACAGGACAGCGTGCAAAAAACAGCAAAACTCGAAAAAGTAAGATTGACAGAAAAATGTAAAACCCTCGTAGAACACTGCATGTAGCACATGTGACACCTACATCACTGCTTGCTTCAAGCCGTGCTCCACTGCTGCCCACTTTCAAAGGGTAAAAGGAGGGACCCCAAATAAGGATCCCTAGGTGCATACCCATAATATAGCCATTATATACCCATTATATAGTGCTCTTTCGTCGTCCTCCGTGTCGCAGCAGCCGGTGCGGAAGCGTATTGAAGCCGCCATCCAGTCACAGACTTCCTTTCGCACCAGGGTCGAAAGGGGTTTCGGGTCCAAGTACCGTCTTGTCATGTGCTTTGGAGCTGTTGGGTTGTAGGGTGTAGGGCCTGGGACTCTTATAGCCCTGCATAAAGCTCACGTACAGCATCGTGAAGAGGTCCCAGAAAGTAGAGGAAGGGAGATCCTTTAAACCCTCAACCACCCTAAACCCTAAAACTATGACTATAAGTACATTCATTCGGGCTCCTGTAAGCCTACTTACTAGCTTACTACTACGTCTCTGATCCTCTAAGAGGGACTTAGGAACCAAAAACGTTTTGATGGCGCTTTTGAAGAACACTCCTGAAGCATATATCCAAGACTCATATGCCCGACCCAAACACCACACCTCCAACAATCCTTAAAGACGCAAGCCAGCCCTACGCTCCGCACGAGCCTAAACAGCTTCACCCGAAACCCCTTCGACCCACAACCCTTTATGATCAACCCGAATCCACCCACAACTGCAGTCGTCTTGATAGGACCATGTGAGTTATTGCGTGCCTGTTGTCGGTGCCGTCGGAAACTATTTCAGCGCCCTTCTGCGAACCTCATTACATCGTACCGTGTAGAGTACGTAAAGAGCCTTGGATTCTAGAGGGCATTCGTATAGCCCCGAACAATAGAAACCCTTGCACAGCGACGGGGGGTAAAGCGAGGGCCTTGGCTTGACCGGAGGCGCAGACGCCGATGGACTTGTCCTCCCGATTTCTCTGGGTTAAGGGTCTGCGGCTTTACAGGGCTTAGGGTTTAGGGCTTAGGGTCTTGGGTTTTGGGTTCAGGGCACCACGAAGGTGCCACGCAAGCACCCGCAGCACGATTACGAAAAGCAACTACGGCTTCGAGCAGACCACCTAAGCCCTTGACCCGTACCCCTTGAGCCCTTGAATCTTAAACCCGAACCAAGCTGTAGGGCATAGCAGAAAAAAGGCACGAAAAGCCAAAAACGGCCCCAGGTGCACCAAAACTCGAGTCCGGCAGCAGTGCGACGTTCTTGGACTTCATCAGAGTCTCGCCGATCTGCACCAGCTCTGGGCACGTGTAGTCGCCTTCACTTCGCCGAGTGTGGGCTTTAGGATTTAGGGTGTCGGGTGGTAATTATCCTAAGCTCCAAACTCAGGCAGCCCCAAACTCGTACAGCCCTGCATGCCATTTAGCTGCAAAAGGTTTAGGGTTTAGGGTTTAGGGCTTTGTGACTTTGCACACTTACGGGAAGCCCTGCGCAGTGTGTCCTAAACCCTGGTGGACATTGAAACCTTAATCCTCGTACTGACTGGAGGGGGCTACAACGTTACTTAGGGTTTATAGGGTTTAGGGTTTAGGGTTTAGGGTTTACAGGAACTTAGGGTTTCATAGGTTTAGGGTTTATAGCAAGCACCCGGAGTCATGCAAATCAATACTAATCCAAAAGCTGTCTGGTCAAAATCATTGCCCGAACTAGAATCTAGAATTCAATAATCGCATGCATTTGCGTGCCTGCACAACCAACAGCACCACCCCCGTGACCATCATACCGCCACTCTTGCCCCACTCCTACTCCTCCTGCTCCTGCTCCTCCTCCTACAAGAACCACACCGTAAACCAGAATTCCCAGACCTTCCAAAACCCCTTAACTAAGGAATCTACCTTTAATTATAGTAGGATCCTTAATATGATTTAAGGTATATTCCTTAATTAAGGGGTTTTGGAAGGTCTGGGTTCTCACCACCATCATGACCATCAGCATCATGGCCGTGGCCACCGTCATCGTCATGACCATCATCACGATCATAGTCCCGACAGTCGGCATCTGTGGGATTGCTGTGACCAGGATACCCAGTAACCTAAGAATAAAAAGGCCTCTCTTTTTGGTATTGGGTAACTTTATAAGGAACCTAGGACTACAAAAAGGGAATAAGGATACTACTGGGCATCCTAGGTGATGATGTTGAAGAACCATTTAATTACAAGTCGAATTGCAGGTTCGCATGGATGACCACAGATGGATCAGAGTCCAAATGCCGCAAGACCGAAAATCATAAGACCCTACGGCAGCCCGACCCCTGCGCAAACCATAAACCCAACCTCTTCAAACCATATAAACAAAAGACTCGAAAACGCAAACCGTTGAAACCCCAAAGCCCGACCCCCCAACCAACCCCCAAACCCGAAACCCTAAACCAAAAGCCACGTCGCGGAAGTTGAACTCAAAGGCAATTCTGGATCGGAACCCAGGGTTGGCTGCGATGAACTCCACCATCTCTGCCTGGTAGCCTGGGACTGGGTCTTTCTCTTTTGAACTCCTTTTTGCGCCTGCCTGAACCTCCAAAGCAAGCACAAGGCACGCGACTGAGTCTAGCTTCGGGTTTGGAGATTGGCGTCCTACTACGCAAATACGGCTGAAGTCCTGAGCCGTAATCCCTGCAAGCCCCAATCATTTAAGGCTCTGGGGTTAAGGGTTTTAAGGCCCTCGTCAAAACCTCTATACTTGACTCTCCACCGTCAACCCCAAACCCTGAACTACCCTAAGCCCTAAACCCTCTCCGCATTAAAATCCCCAAAATCACTTCCTAGGAGCCGGCGAGGATCACCACCACCTTGTCACGGTGGTCCTCCGTGGACAGGGGTTTGTGTGTTTTAGGGGTCGGGGTTTGGGGTTTCGGCTCTTGCAGGGTTTGAGAAGGGCGCGTTGAGCCAGACTCTATAGGGGCTACTATTGAGAATTCTACAGGGTTTGGAAGGGGACCTGTAAAGTGTTACATGGCGTGATTCAGGTTTCACACAGGTTAGGGGCTCGAGGCTGACAAGTTGGGCTCGGGGTTCAGGGCCTTTGATGATGGTCCTTTGTCGGGAACAAGGACCAAAACTTTCGGTATCGAGGAGGCCATAACACGATCACCATTACCCGACCCTGCCTCGCATATGTGTCTGGACCCCTCTTGAGGAAACCAAAGATCAAACTGTTGAAATCTGACAAGAACTGGAGAGCCTTTTCATGACCTGATACCGTAAGCCGTTGAACACCGAAACCACAGATTCAAGCCCTCAAACACCAAAACCCTGGAGCCTGAGCCCTGAACCCCAAACCATCTTAGAAACCCCCTTACAGTGCTGTTTATCTCTTTATGGTCGCCGCAATTACAGAATACAGCCCTTTCAGAAACTCGTCGCCCCGAACTCTAAACCAGCCCTCCTCCATCAGCTTAATGAGGGTGTCCACCGCCTCATGGCCGTACATATCCTGCAGCGGTATGCGGAGTTTAGGGTTTAGAGTTTAGGGGGTTTGGGAGCAGGATTTAGGGGGTTTCGGCTTTGATGCTTAGGGTCTATAAGGACAGTTGGGCGTGTGAGGTTGGCATTTAGTCGCTCAGGCTTGGGGTTTACGAAAGCGGGGCTTCCGAAATAGGGGCCATGCGACTGAACAAAAGAGTGTTGTGCACCAGGATGATGAGCTTCGGGGTCTTTTGAGCCTTCCCCGAGACTCCAATAATAGGATTTAGAGAATATCCCTTAATAAAGGCATCTCTGGGTTCTGGCCTAGAAAGTGCTAAGCACCCTGAGGGTAGGCTTTGGAACACTAAGCTTGACTCGCGAATAGCCCGGCTGCACAGGGCTTCTGCGGATTTAAAGCTTAGGTTGTTAGGGTGTCGAGGGGTATTCAGGTCCCATAATCCGGAATAGATGGCGAACTTCTGCACGCCTCCTGAAAGTTGACCCGAAGCCTGCGTCGTAGAACTGATACCGGAACCCAAAAAAAAGCCCAAAGAGCCAGGAGAGAGCCACACCCATGGGCCTCTTTGTAAAAGAAGTAAGGAGTCCAAGGTTGGCCCTTTTCGTGGCCCCTTTCTGGTTTCTGTGTGGAGGGCGAACCTTTCAGCCGCAGAAGAAGCCAAACGAAAAGGCGGATTTCAACACCCCGAAACCCCAAATTCACAGCCCAAAACCGATCTCCTGAGACCGGAGATTCTCAAGGTCAAGTGCAGAACGCCCAAGACAAGAGTGGGGAATTTGATGACAGTGCTTCCCTTTATATCCGTGTAGCATCCAACTGGTTCTTCTAGAGACACTGCGTTTACGACGAATACTGCTGGAAAGAACGCTAGAACTCATAAACCCGAAGCAAGCCTCAAATCCAAGCCTTGAAAGAGTTGTGAATTCCAGCATAACACCCGCAAGACCCAAAAACGCTCCCCAACCCTCAGCCCTCAACCCTCCCGTAAACGCTAAACCGTAAACCCTGCCCTCCCCCCCGCCCACAAAAGAAGAAGCCAGTGGCGGCCTCTGTGCTGGGGTTTACGAGGGCATAGGCCTGTTGTAGGGCGCCAAGAGCACGGATTGCATTAAAAGGTTCAGGGTTAAGGGGTTTACGGCTTGGGGGTGAAGAGTTGCTTAAGGGTGTAGGCCGAGGCCTGCTTAAACCTCAATGTAACTACAATTTGCAACCAAAAACCTAAGATCGTAACCCCAAGCCCTGAAGGCTCTTGGGACTTCAGGGTGGTTTATGGTTGAAGCGCGCCACTTGCTGTCCAGGATTGACCACAGTACAATCCTTGTCATGCACCCACAGTAAACCTTCCGTAGAGCAGGTCAACTCGAGGCAAAGCGCCCGACACATTTGTCAAGGCCCTCAAAGACGATGCACGAAAAAGCTTTCCGTGTATGGGTTCAAGGCCTGTTTGGGGGCCGATTCCAGCAACCGCATGTTGGGGGATCCAATAAAAGGCATAGGTTTACTTCGTTATGTCGAATATCCCTGGCTGCTTGATTTAACGAGCCTTAGTTGTGGCCCCGATTTTGTCCTGCTGGGTACACCACCATCCCATCCACCCCCTGTGCCTCGTCGAGGAAGAGCACGCCACCCTTGGCTTTCCTCGGAGCAGCCCAGGAGGGATGATTGCTTAATTCAAGGTTGATGGTTTAGGGTTAAGTCCCCCAGAGTGTCGAAGCTGGGGTTTATACGCATTTCAAGGGCTCGATAAGAGTTCCATAGGGCTTCTGTTAGGATGCGAGGGTTCCGGAGGGGCCTTAGTGATCAGTATAGGAGTGTTGAAAAAAGATGTACAAGGCTTCATAAGGGCTCATTCAAGGCTCCTTTTGCAGGGTTCTGTGTAGGGCTTCTACCAGGGCTCTGTCAAGGTCGAAAGACCCCCAGGATGTCGGAAATGGGATTTCTGAAGGGTGCCTTTTCGGGGCTTCCGTTCGAGCTCGGTTAGGGTTCATAGAAATTGGGAGCGTTCCAGGCGGTTCAGAGCCTGCAGGCTTCTAAGCGTTTTGTGGCATGCAGGTTTGCGGGCCAGGTGATCAAGTCTCGCTTCGCCCAGGTTGAGTAGCGCAACGTTTCGCAGATGCTTGCCTGACGGTGCTGCAGCAACAATGAGCCTATTGCATGCTGTTTTTGCAGCAGCCCTTTAAAGTCTAGGTTCAATTTTCTGTGGCGCCTGCAACTACCGTACGTCGCAAGACACCTTCGGTTGTTAATTCATGAGATCGTAACCGCATGAAACACACAACTGTTTGCCGTAAAGGTATACATATATATGCTCATGTGTGTATACGCACATGCATATATATATATATATATATATGTAGATATATATATATATATATAAACTAAACATATATGTGAACATGTACGAATATGTCTGTAGGCACGTACATACAAATATGTAAATTTGCTAGTGCGGGTGTGTGTATACATATATATATATATATAGATGAAGAAGATGTTGACAAAATCGAAACGGATCTGCTTGAGCGCTACCTCGGGCATCTGTATCACATCTCAGTAGAATCTTGTCGCCCGACCAGTTCGGAGAAGCGGTAGATTCTGCAGTACAAATATAAACAAAAAGGCACTCCTGGATAATGGTGGCGCTCCATGATTTTCTTAGTGAGGTAGCGGGAGAGGCGAAATGCGCGCTGCTGGCCGGGTTTCTTGCATAGAATGGCTTGAGCACCAGGCTGTTTCAGAAGTTGATATAATTCGATTGTAAGCTCATCGAAGTCAAATTGGTGATCGAAGTCTTGATCTTGATCTTGATGCTGACGCCATTGCCAATCGAAGCAACCGCCCGGCTGATGCTCGCGATCTTGGTGCAGGCGTGGAAACTCCGAAATGCCAACCAGCTCCAGCTTCGGGAAGCCAGAGCTGAGGTCGGCAAATTCCGAGATGTGAGCATCTGTCAGGAGTACAAGAACCTTGCCACCTGTATAGGATCCCACTGCAGCTGATGCGAAGCCAATCGCAGCCGAGGCTGGCACCGAGACCGGATTTGATGACAAAATCAAGGTCGCCAAAGTGGTTGCAGCAGAGCCCCCCACAACACCCCCGATGAAAGCCTGTACTTCACGGCCTGGTGACTCTAGCATGGCCTGAGTTGTTCCGATCGCGATGCCGGGCGCGGCGTAAGACCCAGCGGCTGATGATGAAATGTCTCCCAGTGTCGATGGCAGAGCCTGGGCTGGAATCCAGGCATTGTTGAGAACACGCCTGCCATCAGCATACTCATACACCTTGGCAATCATCTCGCCCGCTTTGTAGTCCAAGACTCGCCCAGAACTTTTCGCAACCTCGCGGGTAAAATATTTGTCATGGCATATGTACTTCGTATAGTGATTAACAAGGTCGCGAGTAAGAAAATGCTTGGGCTGTAAGATGTGATTCAATGCATTCTCGTCCACGATACCTGGCACGGAATCGAGAACCGTTCGCCATGACTGGGCACCATACCCCAGCGCCCAAGCTGAACCATACCGAGAGACAATGACCTCAAACTCTTTGCCAACTTGTCCTCGTCACGATCCCATGAGCAAATGGACTGCCTGAAGGATGCGGATAGACCGTTTTCGCCGGAGAAGGTTCGAAAACATCTGCCATGCTTGGCAACGTTCTGGGCCAGCCGCACCCGTGTAGCTCGAAGCAGCAACATGAGACCCTACGACCCGGCACGCGGCTGTCTCAACGCGCCCTGGCCCTGAGCTGAAACTCTTGCAAGCCCTGGGCCTCTAAACCCGTAAGCAAGTGCCCTGGCACAGGCGGCATCTCAACACACATGAACGTCTGCTTAACCGAAAGATGGCACGTCTGGCCTCTGGCACAAGGAAAAAACCCAGAGTCCTGCAAAACTGGAAGTCGTGGAACCCTGAAGCCATCTGAAGCCTAGTGCAACAACGAAAGCCTGAAACCCCACAGACATACAGTGTCCTTGCAGCCCATCGCCACCAATCTGCTACGCTTCAAGAGGCTAGTGTAAACTGTCAACAAGTTACTGTGAATCCGCATGGTTTGGGGCGCACACGATCCAAAATCCGCTAGGTCCTATGAAAAAAAGATTTTGTGAACTCTGTTGCGGGTTCTACTCGAGCACCTAAACCCTAGACCGTGACCGCGAACCCCTGAACCCTAAATCGCGCCGAATCTTCTTCGATGCTCTTCTCGCAACCATAAGTCCTCCCCCAAGAATGCGATTGTTACCCGAGGTTCTCAAAAACGTCGTTCACCTTCAACGGTATACAATACTTATATATACCCCAGACCCTGTTGCGCAAACCCAGCCACCATTACTCAACCAAAAAGCCCTAAACCCTAACCCTAATGCCCCAAACCGGAAAACTCTAAACCCTAAACCTCAGAACCCTAAATCCTGCAACTCTACAACACTAAGCCGAGGCTCTCGAAAACCTCGGCTACCTGCATGGCGGTCTCACCCAGATGTTGGCCAACGAGGTCTGCGCGACTCACCTCTGTCACCTTGGGCCGTGTTTAGGGTTTAGGGTTGCGGGCTTAGGGCCATTAAGGTTTCTGTAACTTATCTACAAGGGGTTTCAATTTTCATCTTTGAAGGCCCTTTCTCCTCAGAGCAAACTGGTCAGAAATCCCCATGGTTTTCGGTTTGGGGGTTTGCAGTCTGAGTTACGAATCGTTATTGTGAACTTGGTCGTTTAGCGGTAGTGCTCCGACTTCTACAGCATCTACACAACAAACCCCAGATGTCACACCAAGACTTCCCAGTCAAGTCGCTAAGTAATGACCTGGCGAAAACCATGGGTGAACGTTGGGGTATGTTGGAGCGTTCACAGAAATCCACTTCAGGTTTGCACACATTTTCGGAGGCCCCTGTAGACAAGAACACAACAGACGACAATCAAAGTTCCGAGTATGCAGTGTGTTGAGGGATGATGGATTGGGGTCTGCAGGGACTGTCGCCTGGGTGTAGAGCTTTGGGCTTGGGCTCTGTGGTGTAGTGCTAGAGCTAGAGTGTGTCTTCGCACATGTCTGGGTCCTGGTTGATGTTAAAGACCTTCTGTTTGAGCCTGCCATGGTACCCACGTATCCTATCGAAGGTAAAGCTGGGTGTAGGGGTTTAACGTGTATGGATCCTTAGTTTTGGATTGGGGTTTCGGTTTAGGGTCTATGATCCTTAGCTTTGGGTTGGGGTTAAGGGTTTAGAGTTTACGCATCCTTAGTTTTGGGTTGGGGTGATCTGGAGCCCCAAAACGTGGGTTTAAAGCGGCGCAAAGGAGCCTCAGCAGCCTAACACCCCACCAACCCAAAGACTTAACCCTGGAGCTCAACGGATCTAGAGCCCTCGAACCCTACAACCTACGGTTTAGGGTTTGGAGTTTAGGGTTTAGGGTTTAAGGTTTAGGGTTTAGTCCTCTCCCAAGGCGCCAAGCTTCCCTCGCGGCTGCTCTCGATGGCACCCATAGCAACCTCCAGAGGCAACGGAGGTGTTTCTTCTTACTCTCTGTGGCTTTGAGCGGATTGTATCAGGTGTTTGTAACTTGTATGTGTTTATCTGTCTTTGTAGGATTTCCAAGAGGGTTTTCTGGTGCTTGATCTTATATGTGCCTATGAGGTTGTACAGGGCTGCTTGAGGCTTAAATGCGGGAAATGCCTTTGGGTTGAGGCTTTTCGTCAGGGTTTTAGTTTGGGGTTTGGGTCTCGGGCTCAGGGTTTAGAGACTTGGGCGTAAGGCGGTGGATTTGCTGATGTTGATGCAAATCAAAAACGTGCAGCCGACGTGAAAGCTGAAATAACCCTGAAACCCTGAACCCACCCCGGTTAAGGGCTGAGGCAGCCCGGCGAACCTCCACGTCGAAGGAAACATCGAACAGCCCGAATTCCAAACATGAAACCCGAACCATAAGACAATGAAGCTCGAACTTCCCTCCGTTTCGGGGTATACGGCAGGAGTGTTAAAAGTTCAAAACTTACACCTCCTGGGTATCCGAAAGTCCACAGCCGTGCGGCCATAAGCTCACCAACGATACGCGCCACGACCGTTTTGCCTGGCAGGGGATCCCCTTGAAAGGAGCCCAAAATGGGGGGGTTTTCGAAAATAGGGGACCCTAATACAGTACCCTAAATAGTAGGATCCTTGTTATAAGGACCCCCAAATAAGGCCTCTCCACCCCTGCATAGCTGCAGTCTGCTAGACTACTCGTCGGGTTCCCCTGAAGCTCTGAACCTAAAACCTTAACCTTTAAAGCTTTGGCCCGGAACCCCAACATTAGAGGGCTCAACAAAATCATACACTCTTTTGCCCCTCAGAAAAGGTCAGCAAAACAACTAACGATCTAAAGATCCCCTCGAAAAAAGAGCAGAACCCTGAGAAGATCAAAAAACTGAAACATCCCTAGGGGCTCTTTAAGCGGGAGCCCAATTACCTGTACTATTTTGGGTATTATTGTACCCTTACAGTAACCCTTTTAGGCCCCGTTAAAGGAACCCTACAAACCTCAAGCGACTGAGAATCGTAGGGCCCAGGGCTTAGGGCTTTTAAGCCCAACCAGAAGCAAGCAGCCCTCTGAAATCCGAGAATCCCATGTAGGAACCCCTGGTTGGAAACGAGTTTTGGGTTTAGGGCTCAGGATTCAAGGTTTGGGGGTTTGGGGCTTAGTTTAGGGTTCAGGATTCACGGGTTTAGGGTTTACTTTAACAGCCATGATCAGGGATTTCTTAATCAGATGCAAGCAGGAGGGGGGTGGAAAGGTTTTCAGGGTTGACTACTACTACTACTACTACTACTACTACTACTACTACTACTACTACTACTACTACTACTACTACTACTACTACTACTGCCGGACAAAACACTACACTATGCCTGAGGAATACGCCACATCCCTCATAACTTATAACTTCGGGTAGTTGTGGCAATGCGGTAGTTGGTCCATCAGCGTATCATATAGCAGCCGAAGAGCGACATTAACCCTCGAGCTTAAGCCCTAAATTCCTCGAACCCTCCTTAAAGGAACCTTCAAAGAAGGGAACCTCTTAAATGGAACCCTATTATAGCATCCTATAGCACCCTTAAAGGGAACCCCATGAGGTGCCCTTGAAGGGCCTGTGCCCGGATTGCCCAGGAAGGACATGTGCAGCGACTGCTCCCCGATGCTGGGCAGACCCAGGCGCTGGCGCTCCTTCTTGAACTCCACCTGCGTAACGAAACGGTGCTTAAAAAGTCCGAAGCCCTATAACCTCTGCACCTAAAAACTCCTAAGTCCCTAAACTTTAAGGGTTTAGGAGTCTAGCGTGGGGTGTTGGGTTTATGGGGCTTCGGACTCTTCGGGTTTGGAATTTAGGATCTTGAGGCTTTCACGCTTCGGGCTTGAGGGAAGAAGAAATGTAAGTCACATCTAATGCTTAGGGTCCCTAAAAAAAGCTGATAGGCACAAGCAAGTTACAAGAATACCCCTGCCACATTGGGGCTTCATCATAAGCCGACTTTCATGTGCTTTTTTTTTTTTTTTTTGGTTGGTTGGTCGTGAACTCCACGAGTGCTTGAAGCTATGACATTCCCTAGGCCCCAAGCAAGCAAAATCTGCATCGTTCTCAACGCCTGGGCCCGAAACGAGCTTGGGGTTAGTTTGTGCTCTCATTAAAACGGACTTGGACAGAGAGACTATAGACACCATACCACTAACAAACACGCAGGAATCTATAGGGGCTCAAAGCAGGCTTCGGGATGAGGAGTGAGTACCAGTACCCAAGTCTTTTGAAGGATCCCTTGCAACTGCCCTAAACCCCAATGCCCTACAAGCCAGTTGGCAATACCGATGAGCTGAACATCTGATCCAGCGATATATGCAGCCCGTAGCTGTCGACTCATACGTCAACCCTGCGTTTGGTGAAGTTTAAGGTTTTGGGCGTATTTTTTCAGTGCAGGGTGCACGGGAAAAGGCCACCGTGGCGTGTCAGCACTTCGCCGCCGTACGTACGTCGGTAGGTATGTCAGCACATCTTGCTGATACTATACCATATTTCAGTCGAGAACCGCATATTGTAGTAGAATGTATTGTACTATGCTTTCTCTATGTAGCGCTGAGGCCCTGCCAGCGCTGCAGACTACAAGCAGAGACAGGCCTATCAAACAGAAATTACAAGGTCCTGAACAGCATTGCCTGCGCCACCACTAGCAGCATTACCCTAGGTCACGACAGATCCATCGCCAAGAATGGCCGCAAAAGCAATGCTGCTTGGATCTGCTGTACATTCTTCAACTGACACTTCGAAACCGTATGTCTGCAGCTCTTGTCCTGCACTGCGGCACACAGACCTAACAAAAAGGTTTAAGCAGGTCCTGCACAGCACTACTGTCGCCACCACATGTAGCGAGACCCCACGTCACAACAGATCCATCGCTGAAAATGGCAGCAAAAGCATATCCACAGCCTTGGACCTGATGCACATTCTTCAGCTGATCCTGCACAGCACTACTGTCGCCACCATTGTCAGCATCACCCCAAGTCACGACAGATCCATCGCCAAGAATGGCCGCGAAAGCCTCGCCACTCGCTTGGATCTGTTGCACATTCTTCAGTTGAACCTGCACAGCACGACTGTCACCACCAAGGAAGACGTGACCCCAGGTCACAACGGAGCCGTCGCCAAGTATAGCAGCAAAAGCAAAGCCAGACGCTTGGATCTGTTGCACATTCTTCAGCTGGCCTTGCACAGAGCTGCTGTCACCACCACAGTGAGCACCGCCCCAGGTCACCACCGTTCTATCGGCAAGAATGGCAGCAAAAGCACCGAACGAGGCTTGGATTTGCTGCACATTCTTCAGCTGACCCTGCACAGCGCGGCTGTCGCCACCAAATTCAGCATCACCCCAGGTGACAACAGATCTATCCGCAAGAATGGCAGCAAAAGCAGTGCGGGAGGCTTGGATCTGTTGCACACTCTTCAGCTGACTCTGCACAGCACTACTGTCGCCACCACATTCAGCATGTCCCCAGGTCACAACCGTTGCATCGCCAAGAATGGCAGCAAAAGCAGCGAAACAGCCTTGGATCTGCTGCACATTCGTCAGCTGACCCTGCACAGTGTGACTGTCGCCGCCAGAACCAGCAAGACCCCAGGTGACAACCTAGGTTGGCCCTTGAAAGCCTCTGAAAAATATTCGTAAATAGGGTCCTATTAAGCCCAATAAGGGATAATATAAAATATCCCAAAGGCCTACCTAGCAACTGATCTATCTGCAAGAATGGCCGCAAAAGACCTGCTAGAGGCTTGGATCTGCTGTACATTCCTGAGCTGTCCTTGCACTTCACTGCTGTCGCCGCCATTGGCAGCATCACCCCAAGTCACAACGGATCCATCACCAAGGATGGCAGCAAAAGCGTGGTCAGAGGCTTGTATCTGCCGCACGTTTTTCAGTTGACCCTGCACAGCACTACTGTCGCCACAGCCGGCATCACCCCATGTCACAACTGATCCATCGCCAAGAATAGCAGCAAAAGCACCAAGCGAAGCCTGAATCTGAATCCGATGAACATGCAAGGTCAGAGAGTCACCATTTTGCACCTTGGCTTCCTTGATCGATTTGCGTCCATCCAGAATAACCCCAGACGAGTCAAGCAGCCGCCCTCTCCCGACTCCCAGTGCGACCTGTGCCCGTTGCGTTACCGCCTCCACTGTTTCCTCGAGGTCTGCTTCCACAGCAGCTGTCTTGCCACTGAGCAGTGAAACTTCCACGGTAATCGACATCTCCACGTGGGAAATGCCCCAAATCCACAAACCCGATGAATTGAATCCTAAACCCCTCGGCTTCAAGCCTACACACCGACAACATAAAACTCAGCCCAACCCCCTCAACCTGAAACCTCTCCCCCTTTGAGGCTCCCAGGGTTCCCTTAAAGGAATCTTTTTTGGCTCCCTTCAGGGTTCCTTTGAAGGGCTGTCGAAGGATGCCTCTGAGGGTTCTATTAGAGTTCCTTGGAAGGCGAGGTCTCTGCAAGGGCTCGTTTATTGAGGGTTCTATACGGGGGTTTCCGAAAATAGGGGACCCTAATATAGTACCCTAAATAGTAGGATCTTTATTATAAGGACCCCCAAATAAGGTACCCCTCATTTTCGGAAACTCGCGTACAAACACCCGCGGTTAGTTTTGGGCTGATGGGCTTTCGGGTTGCAAGGCTATGGGGCCCTGAACCCTGGGATTCTTCACACTTGAGATTCAATGTCTCGGAATCTGAGCAGCCGGGTTTAGAATGTTGAAGGATTCAGGGTTTAGAGTTTCGCTTCTTCGTCGGGTCCTTCTACAACAACGAGGCCATGGCTACGTCAGCGATCCAGCTCCCGTGATAGGCTGCTAAGCGGCAAAGGCTGCGCAAGGGATCTACAAAGGGAAGGAGTTCAGAGCCTTATCAACGCCTAATCCCAAAACAAGGGCGGGGTTTAGGGCTTCAATCTGTACTGCGTCGAGTTCTTATCCAATCCCCAGTGCTGCATGGGTTTAGGGTGGACCTATTTAAAGAGTTTGCAGACAGCCTACAGCACATGGCTGGAAGACAGGGATGGGCCTTCACAATTCTAATAAACCCCAAACACTGAACCCTATGGAACACTGGAGCTGTGGCATGAAAATCAAGGGCTTGACCTCTGGGTAGTGCTCCAAATTACAGTCCCTTAAGGCGGCACCCGCTGACAAAAAAGGATCCTAAATACCAAAGGGTACCCTAGTTTAGAGAACCATCCATATATCCTAAATCCCTAAACCCTAAACCCTAAACCCTAAACCCTAAATCAGACTGAGGATCCATCTGTAATTACCCTTCACCCTAAACTCTAAACTCTACATGCTCAACCCTAGGACTCCTCAAACACCCTTGGGGTATATTGCTGAGTTGAGGGTTTGTGGGCAGCGCTTGGGTGAACCAAATACAGGGGCCTGGATAATTAGAGTAAGGTTTGCTGTATTGGAGTTGCACAACGGAACCTCAACGAACATTATCCGAATTATAGAGGCCCCTCATATTGCAGGGTCTGAGTCGAGTCTCGAGGTTTCCCATGGTTTTAGAGTTTAGGGTTTAGGATGGTTTGGGAGTTGGGGTTTAGGGCTTAGGGCTCAGGGTGTACGATGGTTTGGGGTTTAGGGCTTAGGATTGAAGTTCCTTTGGCTCGTCAGAACCCCCAGAGAACAGGCTCGTTGGAAGAATGAGGTCAGGGCTACATCAGAAATCCAGTTCCCCTCATTTTCTGCTACGGCTGCTAAGCCGCAAAGACCGCGTAAGCGCTTTGCAAGGGGCGCGCAGATCTGAGAACCCCAGGTAAGGTGTCTTAATCATCCAGGGTTTTGAGCTTTAGGGGTTTAGGGCTCAGGGTTTAGGAGTTCAGCACGCAGTCAACTGCGGAGGATTTTATCAGATTCGCAGAGCGTAGAAGGACTTGGCACAGTAATTGGGGCGTGTTAAGATTTCAGGGGTTGAGGGCCCGAGTTACTTACCTTTGGTTAGCAGGGAATGGAAGAATGATAGTAATAGTAGCTGTAATTGTATCCCATTTCTCCATTCCCGACTAACCAAAGGTAAGGTTAAGCACTCAGGGTCTAGGATTTGGGTTATAGGGTTTCGGGTTCGGGGCTTTGGTTCCTAGAGCCGTTTGACCACATTGCTGGAGGGGTTCTGTATCTCTGCGTCTACAGTGGGAGCACATTCTCGGATGTAGAAACGATTGACAGGCTCCTGTAGAATTTAGGTGTGGCACGAATGCCTGTATGGGGAGCGCATGAAAGTAAACAGAAATGCCCCTAAACCCGCATGGGAGGGTCGGAAGAAGTCGTTGTCATGTCCCAATACAAGCAGTTGCTATGTGCTTCCACTGCCATATGGGAGTTACCGAAAATAGGGGACCCTAATGTAGTAGCCTAAATACTAGGATCCTTATTATAAGGCCTCCAAAATACGGTACCTGCAACCCCATCCCAGGCACTACGCCCCTATGATAGCAACCTTAAACCTAACGCTACGCTGCTCGCACAATGAAGTGTACTGCCAAACCTTAAAGATGCCGATAAACCCATCACAAGCCTCTTAAAGCTCTATAATGAAACCCCTCTCAACCCTTGAAGTACCTTTAAAGAAACCCTTCAAGGAACCTTTAAGGCAATCCCTACACCCTAAACCCTCAACCCCAAAAAGAAACCCATAAAGGAATCATTAAGGCAATCCTACAAGACCCACGCAGAAGCGTCGATTCCGCCGCCTGGGCCGTGAGTTCTCGCATCTGGGCCTGGCTCAAGGTTGAGGCTTTGAGGCTTTGGGGTTCGAGGTTCCTCAGGGTTTACGGTTTCGGGTTTAGGGTTTCGGGTTTCGGGTTTAGGGTTTGGGGTTTCGGGTTTAGGGTTTCGGGTTTAGGGCTTAGGGGTTAGGGTACTATAAGTGCTCTATGAGATTCATAAGGGCTGAAAGTTGCGGCTGCAAGGGTCTTAGTACGGGGCTCCGAGGGCTTACTTACGCTTGAGGCTGTAAGCGTCTTATAGATTTGCGAGTTTCCGAAAATAGGGGACCCTAACATAGTACCCTGAATAGTAGGATCCTTATAATAAGGAACCCAAAATATGGTACCCCTAATTTTCGGAACCTCCCATTGTGTAAAGGCTTCTAGGGTCTCATTCCTGTGGGCAAGGGCTTGAGGTACAGGACCACTGTTGATGATATAAATCCTGCGTTACCTTAAGGACCCTAAACTATGGGAACTATGGTATATTCCTTATTATGGGTCATGCAGGATTTCTATCATCAAACGTATTATGAAACCGCCTGGTTTTGGGCTTCAGAGAATCAAAAACCCCTGAAGACAAGGACCAACGAAAAAGGCTTAATCAAAAGAGACCTTTTTCAATAGTATCTGCCAGCGCCTCCAGGGCGCCCAAATTCAGCAAAATACATTGAAAGAACAGAAGCAACATACTGCGCTCTTCCGGGGCGAAAGTTCGTCGCGTCCGCACGTTCTGCTCAAGTGTGCTGGGCAACCTCCTTCTCTAGTAACTACCTCCAACAACTAACTTAGGATTCGCGGTCCAGGTTTGCAAAGTCCTCTGTTCGAACCCAACATAGTATGTGGTGAAAACAGCTCGCAAATTCCTCCGCTGGTTGTACTCCGAGTCCTTCGAAACGGAAGGTATGATAGTACAACGAAACTTTCATCCTGCTGTTACCCTAGACCCTAAACTTAGAGCCAAAAGCCGATTCTCAAGCGCCTTCACTTCGGTGAGTCCGACGAGGGAGTCCAGCTCGGCCATAATCTCCTGCGGTTTTTGCAGGTTTAAGTTTAAGGGATTTACGACAACTATTAAACAGAGCTTGTGAGCATGAACCTCCGAGGCCACCGTCTGCGCGTCACAAAGCTCTTCGGGCACATATTTTGTTACTCTTATGCGCTTCTTTTCTGTATGAGGTGCCGTTTAAGGTCTTTGCATGGGCGTCCACCCTAAACCCTAAACCCTAAACCCTAAAAGGTGATTTTCTCGCCTGAGTACCTGGGTTCACAGTCGATAGTCCTCTTCGAACAGGATGTCAGACGGGCTGAGAATACTTCCAAGGGCCGGCTTCTGAACCCGGCCTCAAAGTTAATATTGGGGCCTTAATGATTTGAATAGGGTTTGAGGGCCCGTTATACCATAATTCTGAAAAAGGGAGCCCCCAAAAATAGTATAGGTAGTTGTCAAGGCCCCTATGTTACATGTTAACAGAAGCCCAAATAGCAGAAGTCCTAAACTATACTGAACTTAGAACCCTAGCAAAAATTATAATTTTAGCCGTTTCTTAGGGATTAGAATAACCAAAAAATTAAAAAGTACTTCTAAGTACCCCTAAGTAAAGACCAACCGGAAGGGAGCCAGGTAAAGGTGCCTGTGAGCACCTGGTGGAGATCGTGACACGCCCGGGGATTTTACGGGTAGTGCTGGGTCCAGGCTTTGAGGTCTCGGGTCTACAGTAGGGCTTATAGGGATCATAGGGTTTAGGGCTTATAGGGTTTAGGGTTTAGGGTTTGAGGTTTGGGGTCCTGGTTAGACCGCGAACGCCAGAGAGCTGGAACAGAAAATCAGGATGAGGAGTCATGGGGTTCCCTATGCTCTGCTACACCAGGGGGTTGGGGGGGGGGGGGGGGGGGGGGGGGGGGGGGGTGTCTGAATTTCGGATCCCAAGCATCTACTTTGCTTTAGAATCGGAGCCTCAAGGATCCCCGAACTTGGAAGAAGGCTCTAGGAAAAAAACATGCTATGACCATGCCGGGAGTACACAGAAATAAGGTCTAGCGTTTAGGGTTCAGGGATGTTGATGCTGTTCATCACTAGTACATCTTCCGGATTCTTCGGTTGACTCTGCAAGTTGTAACACTTGAGGCAGGCCTTGTACACACGGGGCTCGTCGGGATCCACAGAAACCCGGTATCTGAAAAAAGTTAGGATAGGAGCAAGCACTAAGAAACGAAGGAAAACAAGATTAGAACAGGGTTTTGAGAAAGGTAGAATAAGGAACTCGACAGAGCACTATTCCGAATTGTTCAGGCATCTATAACCCTAAACCCTAAACCCAATTATACGGGCTTGTGTGTGCAACCGCTTCCTGCGTAGTCCGCGTGCCATCCAGTCTTCGGCCGCTGCTGCTGGAATCTCCTGAGCTTTTAGGACTAATGTAGGGGCCTTAATAATTAGAATAGGGTTTCGGGGCCCATTGTACTATACTTATAATAAGGAACCCCCCAAAATAGTTCTGGTAATTATTGAAGCCTCTATATTAGGAGTTTGGTTAGAGTTTTAGAGCGTAGGGCTTACTTAGGGTTTATGGGGTTTCTGAGGAGCACTGAGAGCTTAGGAAATGGAAGTTGCAGAGAGAATGCTATTATGGGGGCCGACATAGTTACTAATACTACTTTGGGGTTTCTTACTAAGTCTATAGTATAATGGGCCTCAAACCCTATTCTAAATATTAAGGCCCCTATATTACCTCCGGTTTACACGATGGTCAAGCCGCAACACGAGATCTGCTGCAGTAATTAACCCTGAGTGGAACAGGTACCTGATTTAATGTAAGGGCCTTAATAATTAGAATAGCGCTTTTACCAGGGTCCATAAGGGATCTATGGTAGGGTTCTATACTATAGGGGCCCTTGTAATCAGAATAGAGTTTAGGGTATATTTTAATTACATTTATAATAGGGAACCCGCCAAAATAGTATAGGCTATCAAGGCCCCTAGATTAATTTTGATTCCCTACAAGTCAGCCTCATGAGAAAATCCACGGTCCATAGTATGGGTATTAGGGCTTGGGGTTTAGGGTATCAAAGCTCAAGGCTTTCGGGCTTGTGCACGCGTGTTGCGTTTAGACAACTTTGGGCTTATGCTAAACTCTCAACCTTCCACAAAATCCCAAGCAGCCGGGACAGAAGGATTTGAATTGGGGATTCAGGAGCTATTAAGTGACTAAACCACGCAACTCCTTTTAGAAGACCAGTTGAATCGATCTGTATCTTCCGCATCTGGATATTGAAGGACACGCAATACAGGACCAGGTATCTTCAGAAGCCCAAGTCAACAATCAAAAGAACCCTGCCTCAGGGTTTCAAGTCTCCCTAACACAAAACCGAAGGCCCAAACCGCCCGACTTTCCAGCCAGGAAGCCATGTAAGCGAGCGGAAGCGGTGCCGGAAAATGCAATCAGAAGAGCAGCCAGTTTCCAAGGCATGCCCATGGCTGGATCTCGCAAACCGTGAACCACAGTGGCTGAGAACTCAAGTCTTAAATCGAAATCCTAAACCCAGTCCCTGATTTCCAAGAACCCTACTTAGGGTTTAGATGGGCTTTGGGTGCGGCACTGAAAGTCTGAGGGTTTAGGGTTTTGAGCCTCACAACAGCCCCAAACGAGCCCACCAAGACCCCACAACTCTAATCCCGAAACCGCAAACCGCAAACCCTTGAACCTCAAACCCTACACGCCTGATAGAACCCCTCTAGTACCCCTTGAAGGCAGGAAAAGGAAGCCTGAAGGATGCCTTAATGGAGCCTAATTTCAATCTTCATTACACAGGGGTTGAAGGGTTCCATAACAACGGCTCCTTTCGGGCTGCCGTTCAGGGTACTACAAGGGTTCTACGCGAGCTCTATATGGGTTAAGTGCTTCTGGGTCGGCTAGAGTCTAGGGTCGTCCTGCGGGGTAGGGTCGGCATAGACTTCAGGGTGTGTGGGTTGAGGTTCGGTAAGTTTACAGTTTACAGTAGAAGCCCAATAGTTGGAAACCCAATAGACTCATTCCTTAAGAGTAATGTATAAGGAATCCCAGCACTATTTGGCCTTAACCGGGCTTCCAACTTTATGGGGTTTACTGTAGTGTGTTGTCACGTGGGGTCAAGTTCAAGGGCATCCCTTCAACTTCAGAATACAGCGAACCCCAGAAAGTTGGAACATGGCCTTAGGATGATTAGTGCTGCGATCCCTATAACATTAAGGCTATGAGGATTATAATGTTCCAACTTTATGGCTTCTACTATCGGGGAAAGGGTTTAGGATTTGCGGTTTGGAGGGAGTGTCGCTCCTACTGGGGATTCCATGTTTCTTTAAGGCTTGTGCATAGGCTCACCTTTCGACACCAGCGCGGTCCCTGCGACGTGAGGTCTGCATGTTTCTGCTGCGACAGGACACAGGGTCGCATCGGAGCTGTAGGTCTAGCTAGAATTTAAGTTTTGACGCCGTGGGTGTCGGGTTTGGGCTTGGGATGAACAGTGAACCTTGCGCCACACCCTGACGTGAAAGGCAGTACCTGCGGAAGCCGTTTTCGTGGACCCTTCATACTTAGAATGTGGTTCTGGTGTATACTATACAATAGTTGCCGGAAGGAACCCTACGGAATACTGTTGGTAAGCACTCAGACTCCTATGTGAATGACCGAGTATTTCATAGGGTGTGGGGCTACAAGTATTGCTCTCATTTCGAGATGAAGAGCTGGATCTCAGTCCAGAACTTTGGATGAAGGACTGGATGTGTAGGGCTTTCAGCTTGTGTCAATGACTCCCTCTTTCCCTTAACCTAAACCCTAAACCCCGAACTCTACTTGTGACTTAGGGTATATCTTTAGTTGGAGGACTTGGTGAGTGTCAGGGTTGCGTGCTCTCGGGTTGCTTGTCCTGTAGGTCTCAAAGGCTTAAGATTCAGGGTTGGGTCTTTAGCGAGTCCTGTCGAGATCAGTGCGTCTGTACATCTCTTCTGTACCGTCCCACTTGCGGGGAAAAGTGCACTGACGGACTGCCCTTCCCCAAACAAAAGGAATTCGACATACCTCTGCGATGAAAGCCACAAAAGCGGTGCATCAATCCAGTCTGGCAAGAGTACCACAAGAACCCCCAGAAAGCACGCTATCCGAAACCCTGAAACCTTCAAACCTAGAAACCCTGAAACCGTACAACTCTAATCCTAAGAGCAAGAGACAACAAATTTTGAGCAAAGCTACAACCCTAAAACCCTAATCTACGCTTGCGGACTACATGCCACTATCAGGCCAGCTCCCGATGCTCCGTCTCCCTCAGTGCCAAGGGCAGCTCTGGAAATCCCATCAAGACTCTTGCGTTCGTTAAGATTTTCTCGACGGTTTACCATTCCCCAAACAGTGTGGTGCGGCTTTGGGGTTATGGGGTTTTGGCCTCCAAGGCTGTTATCAGGCTATGACCCCAAACCCTACCAATCATAATCCGAACCCTAAACCCTAAAGCTTAAGACCCACCAAACCCCAAATCTAAACAAAACACGGCGAAACCCACGGTGGCAGTCGGGTTTTGGGAGTCATGGAGTGGCCTGTAAATCTTGCAGGGTCAAGCGTAGCTCCTGACACAGTTTCTGGGTTAAGGGTTACAGGAGTGTAGGCTTTAGGGCTTAGGGGTACCTACAGACTGATTGTTGAAAGGGCAAGGGCTTAGGGTTTAGGCTGGTGTTGAATGCTACTTCGAAGCTCCTTGCAAAATCAGAGAACCCTAAATTTTAAAGCCTATCGTGAAGGGAAATACCCTGAACCACCTTCTGGAGGATCCCGCAAAAATGTCGGGCCTTATGCCCAGTAGAACCCCTGCACATCCCGTGAGAACCGGTGACCCTGACTTCAGATTGTTCCATCCTTGCTCAACTGCCAGCTTCTAGCGCTTGGGGCCTGTAGGGAGTACCCAGGGGCTCCAATATCCCTTAATTAAGGAATATTCCTTAAATTATAGTGGGATCCCAAATATGATTTAAGGAATATTCCTTAAATTATAGTGGGATCCCAAGTATGATTTAAGGAATATTCCTTAATTAAGGGATATTGGAGTCTCTGGGTAGGTTTAGGGCTTTGGCGTTTGCGCAGCCTTCCTCTCGGTGCCATCCCTCGGAGAAGGGACACAACCCGAAAGAACCCTTAACCCTTAACTCCCGCAAACTTCGGGTCGATTACAAGCACAATTACCCAAATGCTGATGGTGGTGGTCTAGGTTTGCTTGTCTCCAGGGTTTGGCAAACGGGTGACTGTTACTCGGCTTCCACAAGGGCCAATTAAGATCTGAATTCTACCAGGTGCCTGACCAAGGATTCGTGGAACAGATTTCGGATATCAGGATTTTCGGGATTTTGGGTTTACGGGTCGAAGAATACCCCCCAAACTGTAATCGCAAAACCCCTGACACCCTACAAAAACAAAAACCCTGAAGACCAGCACCCCAAAACCCAAAACGCCCATCCCCCAATCACCCCGAAGGGTCAACTGTCACATTCAAGAAAATGGGCCAGAATGAGAACTCGTGTTCTACGCTTACCATAATATACCCCAACACCCAAAGGGAAACCCTAAACCCTAAACCTTGAACCCTGAACCCTTAACCATCGGGCCCCGTGTACTATTCTCCCAGGCCCGGACCAGTCCCAGAGGTTGTGCTTCAGCGTCCGAAGGCCCTCGAATGGGTCGGTGTTTGAGGTAGGGCGAGCTTGGGAATAGGATAGTGGGATTTCGATAGTAGGGCTGGGCCGGGATTTTGGGATAAGGGTTTAGGCTTGGATTAGGTTTAAGCTCTTTGGGTGTACGGGTCTGACGCACCTTTTGAGTGGTGTAGGTTTTAGGTAGGGTTTAGGGTTTAGGTGCGGAGATCCTCATGATTTGCCTTCTGGGGTACGTCAGTCAATGTGACAAGAGCGTCGGCTCCTCGTTCTGGACACAACAACCCTAAGAACTAACCCCAACCAAACCCCGACCACTAAATCTTAAGAATGAGCTCTAAACCTTGAACCCCAGACCCTAAACCCTGCACCCCAAGCCGGAAGCCCTGTAAGCCCTAAGCGCGAAGGTCAAGGGTTCAGAGTGTAAGGCTTAAGGTTTTTTAGAAGCCACAGACCTAGGATATAGGATTTTGCTGTAGGGGTCGAGTTTTGGGCTTAGGAGGAATGAAGATCTGGGACTTGGGTTTCGGCCCTCGGGTTTTCCCTTTCAAAGCGCCTCGAAGCCAAGCATCAAGGCAATACCGAGACCGGCGGTCGCATCGATGCCTTGGTTGCCATTGAAGGGATCTGGAGAACTTACTTGAGGTTAGAGGTTCAGGGGGGGTTATACGTTGTCTTTAGAAGCTTGGGTTTCAATAGGGTTGCTGTAGGGCTGCTGCAAGAGTTTGGGAGTTTAGGGATTTTTGGATAGTGTACGTAGGCGTCTCGGCCCGAGGCTTTTTCATGGGGGAATTTCGCTGAATGCGTGTTCCCTTGTGTAAAGTTGACCAGACCCCAGCGGTAGTAGGTAGTTGATCTTCTTCTTCTGCCATCGCCGCGCCGCATTCCAGCTTGAAGCTGGGTGCACTGGCACTCCGGCTCGAAGCTGGGTGCCTGGCGTCCTGTCTGGATGCTACGCTGCCTCATCCTGATGCTGAGTCATTGTGGCGGCAATGTGACTACGATTGCTGCGATGTGGAGCTGTTGCGACGGTCTGTGGCAGTCTCTCAACAAGCTCGTGGTGCTCTCTGACCTGGTGACGGGATGTGTCGGTAATCCGCGGCGGGCAACTTTCGACGCTTGTGCTGTGGTTTACGGCTCATGGCTCACATTAGATCCTGGTGGTCAGCTCCTCTTGCTGTTGCCTGTTAGGCATCACCTTACTGCTGATGCCGCAGGCTCCGGGTCTGGCTTCGTAGTCTCCATGGCCACGGTGTGGGATAGCTCGCACATGCCACGGGTCTGCTGGGATTTTCTGTTCTCTTCGGGTGGAACATCTACCGTCAACAACTTCGTCGGCTGAGTCCTTTGACTGGGGTCAGGCACTCATCGGCCAGGCTGTAGTTTCGGATGCTGACTTTTCGTCCACGCATCCGTCCTTAATCCTATTTACCGGCAGCGCGCTTGCTTGGCCAAGCACGTTTCTTGCGTGGTGCTTCCTTACCTGGGGCCCGCTGTTGCTGCAGCTTAGAGCTCTTTTCCAGACAGTGGTGTTGCCGGTCTTTGCCTCGTGCTGTCAGGGGCGACCGCTGTCTCGGGGTTAGCTGTTTGCTGGTCTGCCCGTCTGGGCTCCCTCCTTTCGTTGTGGTCGAGCTCGGGGGGCCTTCTGTTTCACCTTGCATCGTCGGGCTGTTGTGCTATAGCAGCGCAACTTTTGAGCCCTTCTTCTTAGTCGCTCAGGACCTTCGGACCTCAATGCGAGTCAGTCAGTCAGTCAGATAGTGTACGTACGAGGTTGTGCACGTTTTTTTCAAGACTGTACCA